TCATTATTGGAGAGATAGCATAATTCTTTACATGAACACACAAAAGTTATAGTATCAAAGTACCACAGATGACACACAATCTTGATTGGCCTGATTATTTGTGATAGTAACATGATTACAGTGAGGTATTTGTTTGTTTGTTTTTTTATTTGAATTAGAAACAAGCTTGCTTCACAGGTCAATCCCAGCTCCCTCTCCCTCCCCTCCTCCCTCGCCCCCCCCCCAGGCTCCCCAGCCCACCCAATCCCCACTCTGTTCCCCAGGGAGGGCCTCACCCTCCCTGGGGGTTATCCAGAGTCTGTCATTTTGTTCCAGGCAGGGCCTAGGCCCTCCCCCCAAGAGTCCAAGCTGAAAGAGCATCCCTCATTGGGGGATGGGCACCCAAAATCCATTTGTATGCCAGGGATAAATACTGATCTACTACCCAAGGCCCCATAGATTGCCTAGGCCTCCACATTGACACCCACATTCAGGGGGTCTGGATCAGTCCCATACTGGCCTCCCAGCCATCAGTCTTGGGTTGCAAGAGTTCCCCCTTGTTCAGGTCAGCTGTTTCTGTGGGTTAAACAAGCCCATTCTTGACCCCTTTGCTTATCAGTTCTCTCTGTCACTGGATTCCAGGAGTTCAGTTCAGTGTTTAGCTATGGGTGTCTGCTTCTGCTTCCATCAGTTGCTGGATGAATGTTCTTTTTCCAGACTCTCTGGCAGTGGGATTGTAGGCTGGCACTCCCCTGATTCATGTCTAAAATCCATATATGAGTGAGTACATACCATGTTTGTCTTTTTGTGACTGGGTTACCTCTACAGTGAGGTATTTGAAACCATGAAAATATCCTGTTCCTCTGCAAATCTTCACCCAATCACTGATTTTTTTGACAACTGTTATTATGCTGACACTTATAAATGACAATTTTACAACTTCTAACAGCTTTTAAATTGATTATTTCACTGCTCCCCTATTTATTTATCTAAGTTCTTTGTGACACTGAAACAAAGCATCTTAGACTGTGTAATTTATAAAGAACAAAAGGTTAATTTGCACAATTCCAGAGGCTGGGAAGTTTAAGATCAAGATGGCCATGTAGTGAGCATTGAGTGAGAGCTAATGTCTGCTTCTCAGCAAGTGTCTCAATGCTGTGTCTTGTCGTAGAACAAGGAGAAGATGGGCAAAAAGAAGCCAGCTTGCCCCCTCCCCAGCCCTTTTGTAGGACTGCCAAATCCACACATAGGGGCAGAACTCTCAAGGTCTAATCACCTCCTAAGTTCCTCAACTCTTAATACTTCTGCTTTGATTTTATATGCCTTTTAGAGGAACACATGCATTCTAACCATAGGATTGCCTATTCATTTTAATTGTCAGTATGGACGTGTGCATTTTAAAATATTGTTGTTGTTGTTTATTTTGACCCATGAATGACCTTATATTTGGTCAGTGGTTTTTTAAAATTTATTTTTGGGTGTATATATGTATGTACTATATGCACATTGCATGCAGAAACCAGAGGTAGGCACTGAGTGTCCAGCTGTATCAGGTTCTTCCTCACTTCCGTGGATCATGGTTTGTCACTAAAGCTGGAGCTAGGTCAAGTGATCTTCCAGCACCGTCTTCTATAGTACTGGATTACAGGCATACACAGGATCTTGGCTCTTTATATGCATGCTGGGACCCAAACTCTCTTCCTCATCATTGCATAGAAAGCACTCTAGCCACGGAGCCATCTCTCTCGGCATTGAACAAACTCTTTTAAATTGTTTCCCATGCCTGCTTGAAGTTTGCCTATCATTTTGGGAGCACTTTTTTGTTCTTCAAGAGATTTGGTACTTTCCCAGTTCCAACACTGGAAGCTACCATTTCTTCAGATGGTAACAGTGTTTATAAATCAAATGTGGTTACACCATATTTAATTAACTCACTGACTTCCACTTTCACCATTCTCTTACAAATATATTGAACACCTAAGTATTCTCTTAGCATAAATCCTTAGCATTTGAATTCCTAATCTGAATGTGCACACATATCAAAAGATTTGGGTATAGTTTCTACTTACCCTCCAGAAAATTACTATTTACAATACTTGTTTTTCCACAATCTCTGTGGCTTTGTATATTATTTAAAGGTATTTATTTTACTAATTTCATAAAGTATATTATTTTAAAATTATTTAATCAGACACTTTCATGTTTGTATATTTTGTGACACACTGCTTATATTTTATACATTTTCTATGAGGGTATTCATTCTTTAATAGATACTGCAGGTTTTCTTCTGCTGCACTTATATTTGTGTGTGTGTTTAAAGCTTTAATAACTCTACAGAAGCAAAGTTATTTTTTTTATTTCCAAATGAGTCAGTTGTCCAAATATATAGTAGTCTTGTCTTTCTAATGTCAACCTACATGGTTACTTATCTTAAATTATTACATGTACTCAGGTCTGTTTTTAGACTTGCTCTATTAAATTATTCATTCTTATTATTCCTAAGATATGATAGACTTTAAATTATTGCTGTTACATTATTTTAAGTCAAGAATCTATTCCCTTCCTTCCATCAAGCTTCTTGTAAGAATATATTGGCTTTTTGTATGCAATGCTTAAGTTTCCAAATGAACTTTTGAATCACACTTTAAAATTTTGAAACAGTCAAGTGATATTTTGATGGTTTTATAGTAAATTTATAAATAACTTTGGGAGCCACTTTACTAAATACTTAATACTCCGTAAAAAACAAAGTGCTCAAAACTCGTTAAACTGGGTTGCTGACTCTACTCAGAAATACTTTATTTCACAACAGCTTTTAAAGAATTCATTGTGATATTAGTAGAAAACAGGATTCTAGCATAAAAAGCACTCATGGAGTCTCTTGGAAAGAGAGAACAAGTTGACAAACTTTCTTGATCACGGCCTGCAGCCGTGTCTGTGAGTCTGTTTTAAAAAAAATAAAAACCAACACCACCACAAAACCACAGAGTGACCTCGGAGTGCAGATTTGAGATTGATTCCCAAAGCTCTCCAGCTAGCCCAGCAGTGGAGGGGGGGGGGGAAGGAAAGGGGGAGCTGCTTGGAGCTCCATGGAAACAGAAGCTAGGTGAAGATGGATGGATAATGAATGGCAGGAAAGTGCCACCACAGTCTGCCAGGTGGCCAGGGGACAGAGACCTACAGGGATCCCCAATCCTCATTTTCTGTTTTGAAATCCCTGTCAATACCCAAGCTCACAATTACCCGGTAAGCTGATCCCCAAGGAACAGCTCTGAAATAAATACAAGTTTAACCGGTATCATAACAAGTATTTGGCATCACTGCAATGAGAACAGGTAGAATGATTTTGTTTGGTGAACTGAATTTAAATTTTGCCAAAAGTCAAAGCTTTAAGTGCCAGTTTATTATGTTCAGGATTAAGGGAAGACTAGGATTTACATATAGTAGCCAGACTAAAATGAAATAAGTGCAGAAACATGAAAGCTCAGCACTAGGAACCGAAGGGAAGAATTACAGTCTTGGCAACTGTACCCAACTAAAGACATAGGTATTAAATAAGAAAAGCTCTCCGAGTGTAGCAAATCCTTGGCAGTTCAACGGCATTACAGATTTCTTACTTGAAATCAAATCCATGCTGCAACGTGTGATAGAAGGCTTTATCCCTATTTGGCTGGATGAGAAATTAGTTTCTATGAAAGGAAAACTAGGCCAAACAGGATGCTGAGATGGCCCCTTCTCTTAAAATAGTCCCAGAAAGACGTTAGGGGACTTCGTCATCTCCTGGGCTCCACTTGCTGTTTTCCTGTATCTCCAATTACTTTAAAGTGCTGGAGGGAAACCCACTGAAAGTGCTTTTGGACTTTTACAGTAGTAAATTCTGGAGTGTTCAGGTGTTTACAACCAATCTCTCCTTATTCGAATAGGAAAGTGCTTTGTTAGGGGTAATTACTTTGGTTTTAGAAGCCAACCTAGGAAACTATCTTGATAAGCTAACTTGTTTAGAAGGATGTAGAAGCCAGGTCAACCATGAGTCAGGGCTGGGGTAAAAGGGCTTTTGCAAGTACTAAGGATGGAGAATTATTAACATGGACTGCATTTTGATAGCTTGTAAACTCAGAGAGCTGTAGGCAGTTCTGATGAATTCCTTTAGTTTTTGCCTCAGAAATACATAATGGAAACCAAACCTGCCAAAAAAGAGACAAGTTAAAGCACCCAAATTATTAGATTACTGAATAACACCCAGAGATTCCCCTTTGCTATATAAAATCACCAAACATGTATGTGATGAAGTGGGTGGGTGGGGGGAGACCTTGAAATTTTAATTCAAATATTATGAATTTTAAATATGTAGGCATCACTTAGTAAACATGTGGGAGTCAATATACCCACATTAGATTTAAGTTTTCAAACCCCCTCTAACAATACCCTAATTTGAAGCCTTTTAAATAAATGCTTGTATAAGATACAAGCACAGTAACAGTCCACAGAATAATATCCACCTCTCCTTTGTTAGCTCAAATGCTGATGAATGAAGGCTACATTGTCCAGTTCTTGCTTATTATGGGTTGTATGCAGTGTGTGAATTGGATTGTGGAGTGAATGTGTTCTTTTGAAAAACTCACATCCAAGTTGCTGATGGTGGCAAAGCCTTCAAGTCTTGAAATCATCATGATTAGCTTTAATGCAGTTTATTATATTTCTGTAGGGTTGGAACAGTCACTTTCATTAAGTGACTATGAATTGTTGCCTCCTAATGAGATGTATGCTTTCTCATAAAGAGAGACATGGAGAAAAGAACACGGAAATGAAATTCATATTCCTGTGACTAAGTATCTCCCTTCACTTTCAGAATGAATGGATCAAACTCGTTCTGAATGGACTTGCTTCTCACTCATCTATATAGTATTATCAGAACATCGTATTTTCAATACTATTATAACAATTCTAGCACAAACTTTGAAAAGGCAAATTCTATGTCACAAGTTTGACTAATTATTTCATTTGGTCTTGTGTATTTGCAGGAAACTTCAATAGAAAAACCAAAGGCCTCATTTCAAACGCAGCATCAAATTCAACAAATGAGACGGTCTATGAAGCCGAAGATGTAACGCAAGAAAAAACAATGGATGCAACACAAATAAATATTGCTTATTAGCTAAAATTCCTGTTCTAAAAGCTTACTGGAGAGGTGGACCATTAAGAATAAAGAATGTATTCTACTTTGACTTTTTGAGATGGGGTCTCTCTACATAGCCTTGACAATCCTGGAACTCACTGTATAGACTAGGACAGTCAACTTGCCTCTGCCTTCTGAGTACTGGGATCAAAGAATGCATTTTCAATAAGCTTCTAACATTGCCTCTTAAGTCTTTGCCACTCACAAAGCAAGATCAGCTTTAGCTTTAATTAACTCATTTATTAAGCACTTATTGAGGTTCTGATAAATGTTTATGTGGTTAAGTTTCCTTTGTAAAGTTTCTGTATGACATGAAACTATGCTATTTCTTCAAAATAAAGAGTTTAGTAATAACAGAAAAACAAACCAATCTCAGTGAAGCACAATCAATGGGTTTGTTTCATAACATTTCACAATGATTTAACACATTACTGTCATAAGAGATAAAAATGGGTAAGTAAATCTTGGGGGGGGAGGTTGTCTCATAAACCAAAGCCTCCCAATGTTTTTGAAGGATTATTGTGTGTACATCTGTGTGTATGAAACAAGAATATATTACCTTCATAAAAGTTAATATTCAATGACAAAGATATCACTGTATAACCTGTAAAAAGGGTACGTCCTAAATTTCAAGTATACAAGGCAATTCCTCTGTCAGTACGCTTCCTGAAGAATGTCCGTAATGAAAGTCATAAGAAGTAAGTTTGAATGTCAGCAGTAGGCTCGGCTGGACCTTTGACACATTTCCTGCTGAAGTAGCTCACCTCTGGGTTACCTGAGGAAACGTCATGGGGCTCCCCCTTGAAGCAACTGGGCATCTCTCTGTAACTTACAACAGTAGGTGCTTCTTAAGTTGACACAAAATATTAAAAGCAAAAAGCATTATTAAACTATGACTCATCTTGAACACTGAAAAACATATTTTAAATGATTTACTTAGATTTCACAAATATTCAGTGTAGTTCTAACTAATGCTTCCATCTAACATATAGAAAGTTTCAGTAGCTTACATCTCAAAAGATTTTTCTCATAAATGTATCTATTAAGAATAGAGGCATAGTTCTTTTTCTTTTCTTTTTTTTTTTTTCGAGACAGGGTTTCTCTGTGTTTTTTTTGAGCCTGTCCTGGAACCCACTCTCTAGACCAGGCTGGTCTCGAACTCACAAAAATCCACCTGCCTCTGCCTCCAGAGTGCTGGGATTAAAGGCGTGCGCCACCACCGCCCAGCTAGAGGCATAGTTCTAAAAATGAAATTCAATAGAAAAAAGGAACAACTTAGGGCCCTTGTCACTGCACTCATCTGCTTTAGGTAAGGTTTTCATAGCTGAAAGACTTGTCTTTCAAAATGCGCTGACCATGGCTTCTTTAGTCTGCTCTCAAGACTCATTCTTGTGCATGTAAAACTCAGGGGTAGATGTAGAAACTTCTCATCCTGTCTATCAAAGCAATGGGTTTCTCTCAGGCTAGCATTAGATTTTGAGGGGATGGAAATGCTTTCTTATCTGAAGTCTAGTACCACTGCTGCCAATCTTAGTGACACGTTTATTATTTTATTAAACAACTACATTTGACTTCCCCATCCAAATAGAATAGTTTCACTAAGGTTTAAATATTAAAATGCTAGAGTGTAACTGAAGTTTGAAAGTTCAAACATTTTTAATTATAAAAATGACCATTTCTATTTTTTTTTAGATCAGAACAGCAAATAAATTTTACATTGTGCAGGTTCAGAGCGTTCATGGATACTTGTGATCTTTTCCAATGTTTTAAAAAAGAAAACCCAGATACTGGGCAGCAGGGGCACATGCTTTTACTCCCAGCACTCAGAAGGCAAAGGCAGGCAGATTTCTGAGTTTGGGGACTGCCTGGTCTACAGACTGAGTTCCAGGACAGCGAGGGCTACACAGGGAAACCATGCCTCAAGAAACCAACCAACCAAAGAGGGGAGAAATGGAAGGAGAGAAAAAGGAGTAAAAAGGAGAAGATAGATAGAGGGGGGAGACGGAGAGGGAGAGGGAGAGGGAGAGGGAGAGGGAGAGAGAGAGAGAGAGAGAGAGAGAGAGAGAGAGAGAGAGAGAGAGAGAGAGAGAGAGAGAGAGAGAGAGAGCCCTGAAAATGTTCTATATTGATATACAGGAGTCAGTGATATTTCTATACCAGCTTGGATGGACATCTGAGTGGACAATGCTAAGTCAAGGCACTGGTACAAGTTTATTTTCTTTGCTGAAAGGCAAGGGAAGGTGTCATAAATGGCACAAAAGAGGGGAAATTAAGGTTGGGAAAGACAAAACTGAGACACACATGGTTGTGTACACTATAAACAGTGCCCAAAGAGTGGGACTTCAGACCTTTGCTGTGCCAGGCACTTACAGAGGGGTTGAAGGGAGGGACATGAGCGAAATTAGATGTCCCTGACCTTAGCAACAGGGGCTACTGTCACCTCTGTTCTTAGATACTGAAGCCTGGTACCGTGATCAGTTGGCATCCTTGACAGGTGACCTGCAGAGGCAGCTCACCTCTAGGTCACCTGAATGAAGTGAGTGATGTGTCTGTCTGTAACTCTGAAGCAGTGCTACTTCCAAAATTGAGACAAAATATTAAAAGCAAGAAGCCTTATTTAATTATGACATAATCTATACATTGAAAATATATATAAAATTATTTATTTGGGCTTCATAGTCAAATCACAGCTTTAAGCCCATCAAGAATAAAGTAAAATTAACAAATCACATTTTGAAAAAATGTACATGAATATAAATTCTTAGACCAATCTGGTGGTAATTGTAAGGCTTTTATTATTACTATTGGCTTTAGGAAATTTAAGCCATTGTGTAATTAATAAACAACAGAGCATAAAACCCTAAAATTATCATCTATGTGGACTTTTAACGACAGCAATTTCACCTTCTAAAAATTGAAGAGCAGAATCATGAAAGAGATGAGATCAAACCCCCTTGAAAGCCATTTTCTGCCTTATAATGCTGTCATGTCTCATGTCTCACAAACATAGGGTCCTAAGGGCTCCTTCTCTTGGTCACAGGAACCTGAAATGGTGTCAGTTTTCACCACTCTGCCGTACACAGGCACACTGCCCTGCCAGGTGTCCATTTCTTCAGACACAGTTCAAGTCTATGTCATCGTCTTCTTCCTGCCCAGCACTCCCTTGTCAAGAAGTGCCCAGACTCTGCTCATCAGCCCTAATAACATGAGCTTCAGGGTTGTGTTCTCTCTGCAGCCCCTCTAGCTGCAGCGGACTAAGGCAGCATCTGAATTTCTTTCCATGGATCTTTGGGTTCAGTACTGCACTCCCATGAATGTACTTCTAATGGCACTTCTACCAACTGGACTGTGAGCTCTTCAAGACAGCAGTTGGGCATGGTCTACAGGTACTAGTAAGAACTCTGCTACCTACTTCAAGGCAAAAGGTAACCTAGAATCTTAAGAGTCGTAAATATATTCACACACAGTTGTCCAAGTCATTTATTAATACCCTGGCCTCCAAGAATAAAAGGGGTGAGAGATGTACTAAATGCGAGCAACTAAGGAAAACACACTGAGAAATTTTAGACAAGATTTGGGAAATAGAATGGGAAGTTGGAGGACACACTTATCAGCTTAAAAATACTAGCTTCCAAGTGTTCAGATAATTTAGCTACAAACAGAAATCTATGTAAATTCTGTCTGCATTTGGAGAAAATGACATACAATCGGGTCATAACAAAGTGAAATGAATACCATTTATCTACTTAAGTAGATATATTTAGCAGTCATAATAATAAACACAGCCGCCGGGCGGTGGTGGCGCACGCCTTTAATCCCAGCACTGGGGAGGCAGAGGCAGGCGGATCTCTGTGAGTTCGAGGCTGGGCTGGACCGATAGCCTCCAAACCAATACAGAGAAACCCTGTCTTGTAAAAACCAAAATAAATAAATAAATAAATAAACTGCTGGATGCTTATCTATAATACTTCCTTAAAAGAATATTATTTGAAATTCACTAGAAGTGATCTGAGAAAACATAGTACAATATTTCATAGGCAAGAGACATCAAGGCCCCAAAAAGCTAAATGACTTTGCTGGGGATTACAGAGGGAGTTGGAGATAGAATGTACTCAGGATGGTGTGGTCAAAGGCTGTCTGTCGGGAGCTTAGAGGAGATGGAGCACAGTCAGGGTTGCAGAGGCTCAGACATCACAGATAGTTACCATACCAGGCATCTGGATTGTTACTACTAAATAAGCCTTCTTTCTGCTTCACATTGCCTAAAAAGAAATTTCACAAATTTTCCTAGGAAATAGTAATGAGACATGGATCCCACTCCAGCAACAACTTCTTACTTTAGTAAAAATAAATGACTTTTACTTGGGTATACTAATATTATAGGGAAATTTATTAATAATGCTAAGATTATTCCTGGGGAAAATGTCAGGTCCATTAAACATTTTTTATTTTATTATACCAGATTACTGAGTGAGGCCTAACTGTATATATAAAGTTTCTGATTAGCTGAATTAAGAAAAAAAATCAATAAAACCCAAAACTCACAAGTATAATAATCTCTTCATTTACAACTACTGTCACTGATAACATCTAAAAATACAAAGGGATGAGGCCATTTCTTTATGTAGTATTTGCTATTCTTTTTAAGTTTAAAATTAAAAAGCCTTAAATTTACATGCACATGTATGTGTCTGTGTGAGCATCTGCTAAGTGCTCATGAGTACCACAGAGGTCAGCTGAAGACACTAGATCACTTGGAAATGGAGTAATAGGGTTACAGGTGGTTATGAACTTCCCCGTGAGGATGCTGGGACCTGAACTCAGGTCCTCTCTAAGAGAAACAAGAGTGTTTAACTGCTGAGTCAGTCACCTTTCTTTGCAACTACCTGCTATTTTTTAAAAAAGGATTTTAAGAATGACATTTATCTATTTTCATTAATCCAGATAACCTAAATAATCAAAGAACTGAATTTTACAAAATTAGTGTCAACAAAACAAGTCCTTAAAAATCTAAAAGTTCTGTGCTTTAGTCGTAACAAATGACTAAACTATGAATCAAACAACTTCTTATGGGCCAAGAGAGTTATCAGTTTGTGGAAAAGCTGAGGATGTGTGCGCTTCATGGAAGCGATGCTAGGGAAGGGTGTGGGGGTAGCTTCTGTGGAACTCGGGGAGAAGGGAGGGTTTGTTCAGAGACTTACAAGGCCCCAGTCTGACCGGGGCACGCAAGTTTGGGTGCTGGGAAAGGGAAGAATTAGTAAATCTCTCCAGGCTGCAAGACCAAGCATACTTACCTGACAAATTTGCCTGCAGCCACATCTCTACTGACCAATCCCATGCTATATAAGTGCACCCTAGCAAGGTACTTAGAAACTTTGGTGCTGTTCCAGGCTAGCAGGTTGGTTTTCAATGCTTTTACAGCAAAATAAGGTAACCTGTTGGGATTTTGGAATACTAGACTTTAAAACACACTACCATGAAATTAAAAATGTCAGAAATATTCATATCTACTAACATGTTACTGAAAATACGTATGTATACCAAGTTTCATTATTATACAAGGCTTCTATTTTCAAAAGTAGAGAATGAATTTCTTGATTTAAAATTTTTTACAGTGCTACTAAAATTTGTGACTGAAGTGAAAGAGGAAGTATCAACATTGTGAGTGAAACTCACTCCAAAGCCATTTAAAAATAAATACATATGCAAACATTCATAAAAACTGCCACAAAACTCATGCATGCAAGCACCATGTACACTAGATATAATAAAAATCAGCTTTAATGAGGATTTTGCTGTTTCTACACAAAAGTTCTGTGTTTGAGGTATCACTGTAAGACATGTCAATGTGGCACACGTGTTCACAACCTAGGGTCGACCCTGATAATCCTGACCAGCACAGAATCTCCCTGCCAGACTCTCTAGTAAGCTAAGTGAGTCTCTTTAAAAAGGGGATATTTTAATTTTCATAAAAACGGGAGACAAGTGTTGGAAACATGCATTTCATAAAACAATGACACTTGTTATAAATACCTTCATTATCTTCCTATAGATCCCATTCATTTAAAAACTTAAGATCAATAAAGCAGTTTTATATCTTCAGTGATATTATTTAAAAAGCCTAGAGAATTAAAAACAACAGTGAAGAACTTCACTATCTTTATACATTACACAGTAGATAAAGCTATTAAATTCCTCAAGAGCAAATCACTACCACCAACCTAGCTATGTTGCTGGAAGGTGGATACCACTCAGTAGCTGCTATGTAGATTACTTGGAAATCTACATGGCAGTAAAGCCATGTGATAATTAACTCATGAAGTGACAATGCTAGCCTAACACACAGAAACACAAATACAAATATCTATACTTGAGGCATGGCTGTCGAGTAACAAGATGTATTTAATACAGATGAGCATAGAGACAAGGGTCCCAAAACTTGAGAAATGTCTTTATGGAAGAGGCTGGGATTTTCTGTGAAGTGTAATTATATAGTAATTCCAAGGAAGGTACAATAATTAAAAATAATGAATTCTTCAATTTCCTGAGTTAGGCCAAAGATGCAGTTACTTTTTAGTGAATTCAGAACGGTTAGGGGAAGAACGTTTTTCCTTTTTTCTCTTCTTTTTTTCCTTTTTGTGATGTTTTCCTTTTTTTGATTTGTTCTTCTTTTCTTTTTTCTTTTCTTTTTTCTGATACTTTTGTTTCTTTTGTCTTGAAGAGTCCTCTTCGGTGGAGCTGGAGTAAGACCTATGGGCAAGAACACAATATGTCTGACCACGCAGCAGTTAGGACTGGAGACATGAATTAAGTAGAATCTGAGCTGCCTTAATTCTTGAAAGAGAAAGTGCAAACACAGATACTAAGAATTTACTTTCTATTCTCTTTAAATGCAGAATTCGAAACTCTTGCTGCTTGGTTAAAGAAGCTGATAAAGCTACATCTGCATTCTGCTCAACTCTAGTAATGTAATGGGCTCCAGACTTGGTGAGAATGACATTCCCTTTCTGGGGCTGACACAGGTATGCATGCTGCCTGCCCTTCAGAATCTTATGGGGAAAACCAGAGGAGCTCACTGACCTCATGCATACAGCCCACTTGTATATGTAACAACTTGTTAGCATATTCTCTCAAGTCACAAAGGGATGCAATTATGGCTAAATATAAAAAGGATCCTAATTGTTCCTCAGTGTGAATGGATAAGAGCTGAAAATTAACAAAATAAAAGCACTTTTGTAATTCCTGTGATTTTTCATGATAATGAACTTGATCTGTCTGCTTTGCAGTGCTAGAAATGAACACTTGTATTTCCCAGTAATTTTTACTAGTTACAGAAAGGGTGCTTTGAAATGAATACTGCACATAGATGAATGAGGATGATTTATCATTATACTGTATTAATATTCTAACACAAAATTGAGAGGGAACACCCACAGAATTTCCTTCCCAGACATGGGCTGCAGCAGGGGGTAGGGGTAAGCTAAAGAAACAAACAAACGAACAAAATCTCGATCTTTTCAGACCTTAAAGTACAACATTGTACCCATGTCAAAACTAAAAATACATGTGACAACATAGAAATTGAATTATCTTAAAATCAACAGGTGCTTTAAAAGTTAGTTCATACAAGTAACATTATATGAACTGAGTAGGCTCTATTTATATATTTAGGAGTCTGTCTGTCTGTCTATCTATCTAAAAATATAAATAATATTTCAATGCCTTTTTTAAAAAAGCCATGAATTTGAGAGTTGGGGGAAGAACACAGGAGAGTCTGGAGGGAGGAAATTCTGTAAATATATTAATTAAAAAATTTTAATACTAGCTTACTAATTTAGGAGTAAAATCCAAACTAAGAAACTTCAGGACAGACACAGGGAGACAAAGGGAATCCATAGCCTGCAGGGCTCAGGGATCCCTGACCCTAGGAGAGGCTTGAGCGAGGCCCTGACTCCAAGCTTCCCTTTACTTCCCTCCTGTGCTCTTGCTGGCCTACTTATTTCCACACACAGCTTCGTCCATTCATGCACATTTTTCTCCATCTTTTTGGTCCTGGATTCTCATTTTTAAGGCAAAACTAGGTTTGGGCACAACACACTATTAGGTGGCTATCTGAATGTGCATGAAGAAGTTTGGGTTTCAGGTCCAAAAGTCTGCAAGGCTTGACACAGACAGACGTGATTATAATCTCTAGCTGCAAACCACATGTGTCAGAACGTGGAAGACTACATAGCCTTGTGTCTCCTACATGCAATGCAGCCCGCTCCATTAGCACAACTAACAACACACCAGTCAGAAATCCAAGCCTCTGCTTCTTCAGTTCTTAGGTTAGAGATTAACTTTCAACACTTGAAAGTGAGCTAACTTTGACAATTCACAGGTTTTCTGAAATATAGTCAAGTGCATTATAAAATTATAAAATGGGAACACCTGATTTAAAAAAGAAATCTGGGAGAATAAAGTCCAGACCAGACCTAACTGTGAACAAATGCTCAAAAACATGTCTACTTATTTTAGTATGAATATGACTGTACTTAATAACCAGGGGGAGGATTTGTCTTTTACATGCATTTGACAAATTTCTTTAATTAATCATTAAACACATCTACCAGTAAAAAATTCACAAATGGCTAGTGAGGATTGTGAAAGATCTGAAGGAAGTTTAAGCTCCATTAATAAATTATTTTCTTAGTCATGGTAATGATAGAATACAGACATTTAGAATCCAATTTCAAAATGAGCATAAAGAATTTAGATGTGTATCCAATCAAAATTTCAGCTCTCATTCTAAATGTGAAATCCAGAACACAAATGTATAAAGGAAGAATGTACTGCCTCTCATCAGGACCTTGAGAACATGTGAGGTGACTGCATGGTGACACCATTTCTGATCCAATGTCAAGGGCCTTGCCATTTCAACTAAAGTAAATACAAACATATTATTCTCATTAAGAAAACTCTTTAACTGGACTACATGAAAAAGAAAATTTATAAACCTTCCTGGACTAACAGCTTATCGTTTTCCTTTATAACACCTAAATAACCTGTTAAAAGGTACCTTTTCCTCTTTTTCTTCAATTTAAGTCTCTCCTTGCTTTTTTCCTTTTTCTTCTCCTCTTCTTCATTTATTCCTGTAAGGGAAAAGGGGGAGAAAAAAATCAAGCCACCATGAATCTATGTACAAATATGCTGTATATGTCTGCCTGCACACACACGTGTATGTGTGTGTGTGTGTTCCTGCATGTGTGGGCATGTGTATTCTAGTTTACAGTTAGAAAGATGAAGTCAACGAAAACAGGAATAAAAGCAAAAGTAATCAAAGGCCTGCAAATGGCTTTTCCTTCATTGATGGTAATTACACTATTAAACATGACATCTTCAACTATGGAACCCAGACCACATTAGCTCATAAATTATGCCTTAAAATAAAATTTTGCATCTTGCTGATCACAATGATATGAAATTAGAAATTAGTATCAAGCAGAAGCCTGTTTAGAGGTAGATTACAAATATGTATGATCAAACAACACACCATGACCCAACTTCCTGTCTGAAAGAAGAAGAGGAGTCAAAGAAAAGTGAAACACAGCACCCAGTGGGGCTTCAGCAGAGCAGATGGAGAGGAAAGCCCTCGATGCAGTATCCGCACCAACAAGAGGCTGAGACACCCGCTGGGCTCCTCATGCTTAACTGCTTCTCTTACCTCACGTGGGAATAATACAAAAATTCCTGCTTTAAGCCCTCTGAACATCTAGAACACAATGAGTTTACTTCTGCATAATATCTACATAGAGGCTGTGAAGTTTACAAACCTCCAGTGTCATGTTTACCCATTACAATAACAAGGCTTTTATACAAAAGATGGAGCAGAAGATTAGAGATGCTTCTTTTACAACCAACCAACTAAAGCTGGTTTTTGTTGTTTTTAAAAAATAACATAAAAACTTCTTATATAAATCACTCAATGATTTGACAAATTATTTTTATTTTCTGACTGCGTGACTGTAGGCAAGTGCTGTGGAAGCCAGAGGAGGGTGGAGGATTCCTTGGAGCTGCACTCACAGCAATTGCGAGCTTCTTGAGGCTGAATTCAGTCTCCCTGGAACCACAGCAAGAGCTTGTAACTGCTGAGCCATCTCTCCAACCCTTCTTAGGTGAATCGTGGTGAGAGTATGTTCAAAAGCAGAAAGGGAATTCCTGGGGCTTATATATTAGCACTCTTAGAATTCCTGTTTGCCTATGCCTAGGATTCTTTGATTACTTAAAATTGCTACTAAGCTTGCGAGCATCTAAAACCTCTGGTATTTGTCAATGGGACCTGAAAATCTGATGCATGTCTTATACCAGGTAACAAATAAGGGAAAAGCAAAACACCACTATGAAATCAGAAACTAACTTGCTCCTGATCTCTAATCACTGATCACTAATCTCATGCCAATGACTTCCATCAAAGCCTATGTTCTCACCCATGCTGTAGCCCTTGCATGTGAAAGGAAATACTACTTTGTAATAAGCACATTCGCATAAGTGTGACAAGACCCAAAAGAAGAAACAGGAGAAAAATCACTACTTACTTTTCTCCTGCAGAGCCTGCAATTTGTTCAGTTCTTCATTTTCTTCATCGCTGTCCTCACTACTTGTGCTGCTGACATCCAACACGATGTCCCTTTTGGGGTCTACCCGGAGAAAATTGCGGCACTCAAAAGTCAGATGGCCAGCTACATAATGAAAACAAGAGCCAAGAAGGATAAAACTGCACACGTGTCTATGCTCTTTGTTTGGGTGCTTCACAGGGTACAAGTTCAATAACAGCACAAAAGCTGCAAGTTTAGTAATTTTCCCTATGTGGGTTTTTGCTTAAATACAATGTTTCAACAGAACTTGCCCTTGGAACTTCTAATTCAAGAAAAATTGTAGGGGCACTTGTCATGCATTTCAGAATACTGAATCACTTTTTCCCTTTCTAAAAGCACAGGTTATTTTACATTATTTAGATTAGGGTAACTAAAAACATACTCTCATACATGAAACTTTATATTTTATTCCCCCCCTGTAGCCTTTCTTCCTCTGCTTGACTACTAACTCATGCTGTTACATTTTTCATCTAATTAAAGTAATCATAATGCATAAGCATCACACAAAACTAAATATACTTATCTAAAGGATTTAAAAAACTAAATATTTAAATTCTGATTTCATTTTTCCTAAAAATTCTTCCAGTAAGAAAACTTCCGTAATTGTTCACCATGATGGCTATCACTATCATGATCCTGACAAGATCTAGGATCACCTGAAGACAAGCCTCTGGATGTCTTTGAGGGTTTACATTAGGTTAGCGGAAGTGGGAAGATTCACCCTACCCATGGGCAGCGGCATTTCCAGGGCTGGGTCTGGATTGAATAAAAAGGACAAAGTTGGGGGTCAACAAGTTGGTTTAGTGGGTAAAACCACTTGTCACTGAGCCCAAGGACTTAAGTTCCATTTCAGGGACCCATATGGTGGAAGGAGAGAACCCCACAAGTTTCCACACACGGTGTGTGTGTGTGTGTGTGTGTGTGTGTGTGCGCGCGCACGCGCGCCAAAGTTCTGCCTCAGTCCTATCCCATCCCATTCTACTTTCTAACCTAATTACGGGGCTGCGATTGCAGGTGTTGGTCACTATGCTCAGAGTTTATATGATACTAGGAATTGAACTCACAATTTAGCGAATGCTATGCAAACACTCTACTGAGTACACCATTGGCCCCTATAACACCAATTTTTAACAATAATGTCATAGCACTGGAAAAACACCTGCCTCAATGTAAACCGTACAATTCAAGGTTTGATTGGCAAGTCTGCTTTGTTCTTTTCCTTGTAGTTGCTATTTTACAGGTACTCAAACATGAGTATTCTTGCTAATATCCCTGCTTCACAGTTAGGGTAGGGATCCTGGCTTTATGTGAGTGGCTCCACTCTAGGCATCCTGCCACCATCGGGGCTCTAAGGCGTCACTGAAGACTCACTGTGTGTTGAGCATGACTCCTGCTTTCACTTTAAGACCTTTTCATCGCAACACTGGGTGGGTTACCTTTCCTTCTTGAGAGCTCCAGTTCTAGGTTTGACTGTGCTATTATCGCATTATTTCCCTCCATGCTATGTACTTGGCACAGAAAAGTGGGCTTTCCATTGTAGCCCAGCTGGCCATCATGACCAGAATTCCTCATGATGCAATCTTACTTTACCCACGTTAGCTTTACACTGAAATACCTGGCACTGAAATGAACATGTATGGAAAATGCTTAAGAGTACCACGACTATTTTAGCTTCACTTTAATAGAAGTGACATGATAAATACTTGTGAAACTCTAATAAGTGTGGTTTTTGTTTGTTGCTGCTGTTTTTCTTCTTAGGTCTAAGGGAAAGAAGCTTAGGACATCATTATCTTCCTAACCATTTGTGTCCCTGTCTTTAAATATACTCTAAGAAGATGAAGGGCAAAGAGTCATTATAATGTGATGGGCAGGGAAGTTGGCTTAGTGAACAAAGCATTTGCCATTCAAGATGAGGACCAGAGTTTGGGTCCCTACTGACCCTATAAAAAAGATCAGGTGGACATGGGGGATACCTGTAGCCCCAGTACCTGGGAGGCAGAGATAGGGATCTATGGGGCAAGGTGGCTAAGGAGAGTAGCCAAATCAACAAGCTCTGGGTTTACTGAGACCGGGTTCAGGATGACACACCCCAAATGTGGGCTGTACCTTCCCATGACTTGGAGTTCCAGATAGAATAAGGGGGGTGGGGAGGATACCAGCAGTGCAGGACTTCTCTGCTTCCTGTCAGCAGTGAGGTGAATACACACTCCACCTGCCACCATGTTCTGCCCTACCTCAGGCTCAAAGACAACACAGCAAACCATGAGAGCTAGGAATCCAGGAAAGCTTAACTAAAGAGAAGCAGCCCCTCTGATGGGGGATGTCCTTCTATATATATGTTTCTCTTATTGGTTGGTGAAAAAACACTGTTTGGCCAATAGAGGCAGGAAGATAAGCAGGTCTAAGAGACAAGGAGATTTCTGGGAAAGAAAGGCAGATACAAAAATGGATCCCAAACCACCAAACCTTTAGAAGAAAGCATAAGGGTAAATCTTAGCTGTTTTAGATTTGTCAACAGACTCTTAGATGTGACACCAAACCATAAACCATCAAAAGAAAAAAATTGATAAAGTTTAACTTTATCAATCTAAAAAACTTGCTCTATTATAGAGTCATAGTCCTGAAAACAGCTTGGTATTGGCACAAAAGTAGACAGGTAGACCAGTGGAACTGAACTGAAAACCTTGATATTAACCCACACCCAATAAACACCTGATTTTGACAAAGAAGCTAAAGTTATACAATTGAAAAAAGAAAGCATGAGCTGGCACAACTGGATGCTGGCATGCAGAAGAATGCAGATAGGTCCATATCTATCATCATGCACAAAACTTAAGTCCAAATGGATCAAAGACCTCGACATTAATCCAGCCACACTGAATCTCTTAGAAGAGAAAGTGGGAGGTACACTTGACCGAATTGGTATAGGAGACTCCTTCCTGAACATAACACCAGTAGCACAGACACTGAGATCAACAATTAATAAATGGGACCTCCTGAAACTGAGAAGCTTCTGTAAGGCAAAGGACACAGTCAACAAGAATGGGAAAAGATCTTCACCAATGCTACATCTGACAGAGGGCTGATTCTCAAAATATACAAAGAACTCAAGAAGCTAGTCACCAAAACACCAATCTAATTAACAAGTGGGGGTACAGAACTAAATAGAGAATTCTCAATAGAGGAATATAAAATGGCTGAAAGACACTTAAGAAAGTGATCAACATTCTTAGCCATCAGGGAAATGCAAATCAAAACAACTCTGAGATACCATCTCACACCTGTCAGATGTGGAATTAGAAGAAACCATCCTGAGTGAGGCAACCCTGTCACAAAAAGACAAATATGGAATGTACTCACTCATATGTGAATATTAGACATACAGCGAAAGGTTACCAGCCCACAATCTACACTGCCAGAGAGGCTAGGAAATAAGGAGAACCCTAAGAGAGACATACATGGTCCCCGGAGAAGAGGAAAGGGACAAGATTTCCTGAGCTAATTGGGAGCATGGGGGGAGGGGAGAGAGAGTTAGGAGGAAGAGAAGGGGAGGAGGGGAGAGGAGGACATGAGGGAGCAGGAAGATTGAGTCAGGGGAAGAATAGAGGAGAGTAAGAAAAGAGATACAACAATAGAGGGAGCCATTATAGGTTTAAAGAGAAATCTGGCACTAGGGATGTGTCCAGAGATCTACAAGAATGACCCCAACTAAGAATCTAAGCAATAGTGGAGAGACTATTTTAAATGCCCTTCCCCTATAATGAGATTGATGACTACCTTATATGCCATCCCAGAGCCTTCATCCAGTAGCTGATGAAAGCAGAAGCAGACACCCACAGCTAAACACTGAGCAGAACCCTGGAATCCAGTTGTAGAGAGGGAGGAGTGATGAGCAAAGGGGTCAAGACCAGGCTCGGGAAGCACAGAAACTGCTGACCTGAACAAGGGGGAGCTCATGAACTCTAAACTGATGGTTGGGAAAACCAGCATAGGACTGAACCAGGCACCCTGAGTGTGGCTGTCAGTTAGGAGGTCTGGGCAGTCTATGAGGCTCCTGGTAACAGAACAGCATTAATACCTAGTGTACAAACCGACTTTGGGAGCCCATTCCCCATGGAGGGATACTCTCTCAGCCTAGACACAAGGGAGAGGGCCTAGGCCCTGCCCCACATGATGTGACATACTTTGATGATCCCCCATGGAAGGCCTCACCCTCCCTGGGGAGCAGAAGAGGGATGGGATGGGGGTAAGTGGGGAGCATGGAAGGATGGGAGGGAGAGGGAACTGGGATTGCTATGTAAAATAAGATTGTTTCTAATTTAAATAAAAAAGAAAAAACAAAGAACATGATTAAGAGAGGGAAAAAGTAACAGAACTGGAAAAAAAACTTACAAATCATATATTTGATAGTTTGATATCTGCTCACTGCATGTAAGAAACAACTAAAACTCAATGAAAACATAACTAGACTAAAAAAATGGCAAGATAAACATCTTCAGAAAATAAATACAAATGACCAAAACGCATTTCAGCAGTTGTTGCAAATTATTAGAGAAAAGCGAAACAAAACGATAGTGAAATACAACTTGACATCTATTGGGATGGTCTGGACTCTACTCACACTTCCCACAGCAACGTGTAACTTTCTTTCCATCCAACAACTAGTTCTTCACTCTCGGGGTACTGGCTGGGCACCATACAATTAAATCCACTCATGTGCCCAGGTGTGCACACGGGGATCAGAGGGCAACCCTACAGAGCTGTTCTCTCCTTCCACCCTTACATGCACTGCAGGGACAGGCAGACCAAGAATGCTAACCACTAAGACATCTACCTCGCTGGCCCCAGTTAAATTCATCCTGAACATTTTTCAGGCTGAGTGCAGCCCCACAGATTAAGGATTCAGTTTCACAAGGTTCCGCAACTTCAGATGTCAATCACAAATCTAAACCACTCACACAGACTGGGCAGCTATAAAGTCACAGAGTTCCCAGAAGCTCCTCAAATCTGATGATTCTCTTCAAGGTTCACTGAATGAAGGGAAACAGATGACTTACCATTCACAGTTAATTAGGAAGTACACAGATCACAGGCAGCTAAATGGAAGGGATGCATAGAGAAATATCTGGGTGTGTCTGTGAGGGGCAGCCCTCTCAGGGTGTGCCATCCCCAGAGCCCTAGTATATTTACCAACCCCAAAGTACTCACAATTCTGTAGAGTTTTCTATGGATTTCCATCAGACATGAATGGTTAATTAAATCACTGGCCACTGGTGATTGAAGTCACCCTCTACCAATTCTCTCTCCCTACCCTGGAGGGCTGGTTTCAACCTTCTAAACATCTGTATGGTTCCTCTGGCAATCAGTGTCTATACCGGATGCACTAAAAGTCATAAGAAATTCATGTCTGGCTGAAAATTATTTGTTATAGATAACAGAAAACAGCACTACTATCTCTTTCACTTGGTAATCCAAGTATATATATATATATATTTACCAGATCTGAATCTGGAACTAGGGACAGTATCAAACCAAATATATACTTCTTACTATTTCCCAAGTCTATACATTTCATCAAATTGGAAATACTATAAATGCTGGTGAGGGTGTGGAGACATAGGAAGCCTTATTTATTCCTAATAGGAATATAAAGTTTAGCCAGAGAGGAAAAGTTGGGAAGACTTCTCAAAAAGTTCAGACAACTCAGTAATTCCACTCCTAAGAATATTCCTACAGGAATGATGATCAGGACCCATCAATGATCATTTTAGCATCATTTGTAATGTTAAAAGGTAAAAACAACCAACTGTCTACCCACAGGTGAATGGATAAACAAAGTAGTATATCCATGCAATGCAACATCATTCTACCAAAGAAATAATGTCAACATGTGTGCACAGTACAACATGGGGTAACTTTGAAACACGCTAAGTCAGACACAAAGGACAAACAGTGTATGGGTCCTCTAATAGGAACTATGTAGAGTAGCAGAAATTATCGGGAGCTAAGGAAAGGAGGGAAAACAGACTTTCTACTTCGCAGTTAAGAGTTTCTATTTGAGGTTACCAAAATGAATTGGAATAGAAAGTGGAGATGGCTGTCTAGAACTATGAAGGTAATTAATGCTCAGAATGCTTTGTTGACAAATGGTTCAAATTTTACATTTGATACATTCTGTGTCACTATGGGAAATAAGAAAAAAGAAAAAAACATGGCACAGCACTGAGTGGAGTGCTGTGGAGTTCAAATTCCACTTTCCCATCTTATAATGGAAGAGCCTCAGTTTTCTAATGTGCAACAATGACGGCCCACAAAAATCGAGGACCAACTATGGCCAGCCAATGACCTAAAGTCATTACTTGCACAAGCTCATTTAATATTGACAGCAACCTCTATGAGGTTAGGCACCAGAATTATCTTGCTTTGCAGACAGAAAACCAAAATGCAGAACGGTTAAGTCACATGCCCAGTATTGCACATCTAGTAAGTGCTGAGGTGTTTACCGCAATCATCTGCTGCCAGAACCACCAGAAGCAAATGTCCATTAAAATGAAGATCAGGAAACTTCTTCAGAGAGTTTGTAGTCTGTGACATTTATTTTATTTGTAAGTTTTTTTTAATAACAAAGTTTATAAATCAATTTCTTGGTCTCCATGGAAATCTTCGTTAAATCACTTATATTTATAAGAAAATAACCTTTCAATGAAGTGAATAGCCTAACAGTCCAGTTTAGTTAGCACAGATGTCAAACAGCTTTAGAGACAGCAAGTGCTGCCAGAAACAACTATTGGTAAGGCCTGCGGAGCTGTTGGATTTATCCCCAGGAATGCTGTTTACAGAATAAAATCACATGACATTGTATGTAGTTACAAAGGCTTGGGTGTACCTTCTAATTCTATTATATTAATCGCATTGGAGACATTATTGAAATCTAGGTTTTTGGGGTTTTTTTTTGTTTGCACATGAGCAGAAATTCTGAGACCAATCAAACCTTTATGCAAAGGGATAGATTCAGAAAACATTCAAAGATTGTTTTCAATGCCTTTACTCCTCATCTGGTATCCAGAAACAAAGCGGTGGACATATAGCATATACAAACATACATACACATTTACATTTTTAAAAGATTTACTAATTTTATATGTATTATCATCTATCTATCTATCTATCTATCTATCTATCTATCTATCTATCTATCTATCTATCTATTTTTGCCTGCACGTAAGTATGTGTATCACGTGCATGCCTGGTGCCCTTGGAGGCTAGAAAAAGATGCTGGATCCCTGGGACTGGAGTTTCAATGGCTAAGAGTTATCACAAGGAGGGTGCGAATCAAACCCAGGTACTCTACAAGGGCAACAAATGCTCTCCAGCAACACCTATATTTTTATATGCATAGTCTCTTACTTTTATATTTTAAATTAACTTAATTCTATTTTTTCTAAACTTCTAAATCTCATGTCAACCCCTCGTATTTCATGGCACCTTGCTAGTTTCTGAGCCAACTACAAACCCTGGGAGGGGCTCAGGAGCCACCCACTGAGCTGCTAAAGTCAGGATGCCAAGCCATCCTGCCCACCCTCTTGCCCCCAACAATGGCCCCAGCAAACACAGTAGACAGTATGTTGCTTTTCAGTGCACTTACGGTAGCCACATTTTTTGCAGCCTGCTCGGACATTGTCCTTGTTGCAACCTGAAATATAATTGGAGAACATTTGGGGAAATACATGTAAGTAAAAATGAAGACTTTATCATACTTGCAACCCAAAATGCAACAGGAGAACATTTGACAAAGTACAAGTAGGTAAAAATAAAGACTTTATCATATGATTAAAACCCTATGATCTTTTATTCTAAAATCTCTTGAAAAAACAAAACAAAACTCTAATCTTAGCAATACTACTCAATTATTTTGATCAAGAGTCAACTTACTGAAAATGAACTCACCCAAATCATTTGACCAGTATTTCAAGAACATATATTTTTTCTAATTCAATAGGAACATAGCATTATACTTGAAAGCTTAAACATTTTAGGAATCCCACAATATTGGGGAAGAAATTCTAGGATATTATGACATATTGCTGATATATAACTAATTTACCATCTATCTATCTACCTACCATATATATGTATATATATATACAACATATGTATATATAAACACTAAGGTGTAATAAACATTTTTGTCTTTCAGTTGAAAAAATAATTCCATCTCTACTCCAGGAAATTGGTAAAATTCCATAAAATTCACTATAATTGTGAGGTACATAAAAAACAACTTAAATTCAGCACTTGAACTTTGAGAAGTGAAAACAAAGTAGTCACAGGTTCAATTCTGATAAAAGTTTACAAATATTCAGAGTAATTCTGTGTAGTCAGGGCATGCAGATGGTGCTGAAGAAATAAAACTAATTTTTAAGATTGTGATAAAATACACACCAAAGAGAGAATTTTAATCACTTCAAATGCACATTTTGGCAGCATGGGTGATAGTCACAGTGATGTACAGCTCTCAACTACTGTCCTGCAAATGACTTTTTATCATCAAGAAGAGTAACTACACCTAGCAAACACTTTGTGTCTCCCTAGTCTCAGCTACTCTAGTCTACTTTCTATTTGTCTCTCTGGAGAAACTGGACAATATTTGTCCTTTTAAAAGTCAGACACGGTATTTTCAAGAATCATGTATATTACAGCATGCACCAGAATTGAATTTTCTTATGGCTGAATATTCCACTGAACATCAAAACAATCATCAAAACAAAAACTTTAACCTCTCAATGCCTTCTGTGAAGAGAGGTCTGGTGTAACATTATTCAATTTCTCTAGGGAAGGCTGTCTACTTTCTAAATCCTTCAAGTGGAGTTATCCTAACAGGAGACTACTGTCAAACGTAGGCAGCAGATAGAAAACATTAGAAATTGTAAATAATTGTAATTCTTAAGCCATTTCTTTAACACGATAAAGTTGAAACAGTAGATATTTCTCCCTACTCCGAATTTAGAGAAAAATATACTAAATGAGCTGCTCTTGTGAACATGATCCTACAATGCCTGTTTAAATAGCAAGCATTGCCCACAGACATCCTATCCCAGGATATGCACCTTGCATCCAGGTGATGGATCAGGTGAATGCTGCATCTCACTGACATCTGAGCCTCTTGTGGACACCCAGTACAGATGTTAACATCTCCACGCTAGTCTGTGAGTGACAGCTTCATCAGGTCTGGTGCTAGAACTTTTCTGACATTATCCACTACACCTTCCTCCTTCATCTTCCTAAGAACTCATCAGGTGCAGTTCTTCTGAAGCCTACTTTCACCCCAAATTCTAGAGAGCGTCACTATTGTTTTTAAACAGTATTTACGTGTTTAAATCAGAAAATGTGTCACTGCCGAAGTTTCTGAGCACTCTGTATAGATAGATCCCTTCCCCTCCAGACTCTGTGTCTCTACTCAGTCCTGCAAGATCCCACACGCCACAGTTAGCAGGATCCACTGTAGAGTAAGACTGGATTCATATAATCTAAGGCTTCTCCATTATGATAATAATTGCATGTTGGCAATAAAGCTCAGAGAATATGGGTGGGTCAGTGTTAAGTTTGTTTCCATAGAAACCACAGATGTTGAATAATACTGAACAAATTGCTTCATGCACCATTATTACTACCATCACAGACTAACAGTAACAGTCAGGTGTGAAACTATCTCACCTCTGCCTATTCTAGAACTGAACTCATTTATAGCAAGAGACACTGGTGTGGACTCATTCTTCAGGTGCTTCATATTTTCAGAATGAACAGAACATGAAACTTTTCTCAGACTATCTTCTTTAACCAAACAAAAACTTTTATGGCAAAGATATAAGCAGATCTCCTTATAAGCTACTTGCTCACTAGCTTTTGGCTAAGATAAGATCCCAGCTTCCTTTGTGATCATTTGCAAGCCTGCCTGGCCAATGAAAAGCTCTACATGGACCTTTGAGACCAAGGCAAATGACACCACAGACCTGGGAGAAGTGAGGTAATCATAGTTCACCTGTTGTTAAGATCTAACTTCTAGCTAAATATCTGTAATCTCAACATCTGGAGGCTGAGGCAGGAGGATGCTGAGTTCAAGCTTAATTGGGCTACATAATGAGTTTGAGGCCAGTTTGGTCCATTTTCCAAAGCAGCAATGGCAGTGGCATAGTGTTTGGTTTGGTGTCCTTCACTTTTCTAGTTTCTGAGCACTGCTAGGAAGGATTTTCTTAGATTCAATAAATCCCTTGGCACCTTTCCTTTTCAACTTAATCTTTAATTTTCTGTTGTTGGGATAAGAACTCTGGCTGGGGTGGTGAGGTCCCTTCCCGGTGTAGAGATCCACTCTTTCATTTATTTGTAGCTCCTTTATGGTTTTGCCTTCCTTACCACTAAGTTGGCTTAGGCAGTGACACCTCCTGCCACCTTCAAGTTCTCCTTGGTAATCAGGACCAACAATCTAAAGGTCACAATAGAAGTGCATGATAAGGCCAGGTTGTGAGTGTGTTGCCAAATGGGGCATTGAGGGCTGTATTCTAGTGCTGAAAACCCCCAGAAGCAAACTCAGTACACACTTGAAAGATTGTGAAACAATATATGGAACTCACAGGAGGGACAAACTCTCTATTGTGGAAAGTCAACACAGCCTGAGTAAAAGACCAACAGCAACTGGGGGAAAAATGGGGAAGAGGGCATACAGTGGACCTGCAAGTATATGGAAAAGAAATAGGAATGACTCTAAAATGTGTAGAGGATTCTCACTTTTCTTTATATGTGAAATGCCTGTTGAAAATGGTACCAGGATTCCCTTTCACTTATGAAACGAGCTCAGGCAGAAAAACTTGAAGAGCTTTGAGTGGGTGACACTCTGGAAGGGTCAGTGGGGTGCAAATTAACATTGCACAGTGTCTACCACAAGGCTTTAATCCAACCATCTTAAACCTGGGAACTCATACAGTTCACTTGCATAAACGCAGACCAACTATGTATAAAGTTAGCCACAACAACAGTGTAACTCTAAGAAAAATGAGTTTAAATATAAGCAGGAGAATACTACATTCCGTTATGGCATAAAGGAATGAGGCCAGTGTTTAACAAAATGTAACAATTCTAACACATACAGGAAAAGGAAAGAAAGCTATAGCAGAATGGTTTATGATGCTGTATATATGTGACAAGGATTGACCTTTACTTCAGTTACCTATTGTTTTTCTTCTACAGCAGCGGTTCTCAACCTGGGTGGAGAACCCTTTGGGGTGGAACAACCCTTTCATAGGGGTCACCTACATAGAAAATATTCATATTACAGTTCGTAACAGAAGGAAAATTACAGTTGTGAAATAGCAACGAAGATAATTTTGTGGCTGTGGTCAGTAGAACACGAGCAACTGTATTAAGGGCCACAGTGTTAGGAAAGTTGAGAAGCACTCTCTATTATACATACACAAATTTTCGAGGCTGCACATTTTTATGTGCGGGCCTTTTAATGTATGTAAATTATATTTCAGAAAAGCAGTTGGCACAGGAGAACTTAATAAAAAGCAGCAGTGGGAAGCAAAAGCAAGAAAAGAAAAAGGATCAGCAGAAGAAGCAGCTGAGACAGGAAGACCACAAGCTGCTGGGTTACAGGGTGGAGACAATGTTTCAAAAACTGAAACAGAATGGCTAAAGGAAGGAAAGGAAGCTGGCGGTGGTGGTGCACGCCTTTAATCCCAGCACTCGGGAGGCAGAGGCAGGCGGAGCTCTGTGAGTTCGAGGCTGGGCTGGACCGACAGCCTCCAAAACAATACAGAGAAACCCTGTCTCGTAAAAACCAAAAAAAAAAAAAAAAGAAAAAAGAAAAAAAAAAAAGAAAGGAAAGGAAAACAAGTGAAGAGATTCTCTTGCAAGCTTTTGCAAAACAAGGCGAACACATCAGATTTGGCAAAATGCAGTTACTTGGAAGGTATAAAGCCTGTGATGCCCAAGCCAAACATTAGTTTTGAACGAGGCTCTACAGACCAGCTGGCCTGTGATTTACTATGTAGGCCTGTCTGACTCCAAATTTATAACACTGTCCCTGCCTCCAGCTCCTCAATGCTGAGATTCTAGGCAGGTATACCACACTAGACTCAAAGTCACCATTCAGTCATTTAAAATTGGAACCTTCAGGTCCCAGCCACACAAGATGGCAGTCTGGGTTCAGCACAAGTGGGACATTAGCATTCCTCAGAAACTGTGTTTCTTGCTTGCCAGGAAAAGCCTTTGTTACTGTCTTATCCACTCCTACACCTGCCTCCCCCAGTCTCCAGAAAAGGACATCTAGTTCTCTATTAACTCTAACAGGGCCCCCACACTAGTTCCCAGGCTGTTCTGGCTAACCTACCTTCCTCCCCCTGCACCATAATCCCTTATAACAGGCAGGACTCTCCAACTATTTTTGCTATCTTCTTTGTTCCCACATATCTGGCAACTGTCAGTCTGCTCCTCTCCCCACCTTCTTTCTCTGCTTCTGTCTCTGTCCCTGAGAGGTAGCCATGGCAGTCCCCCAGAGGTTGGCTATTTTCCCTCTCTTATATACAATAATAACCTTCCCCCTTATTCATGGAACAGGCATTTAGGTGGTTTCTTTATTGGGCTTCTCATACACCGTAACAGCACGGAGTAGAACTTAGTTTCCTATTTTTATTATCTGCCTTGTACTTTGAATACATAATCATTTAACGTCAGAAGCAAGCAGTTAACGAGACTAAGCTTTCTCTGTATCACTTAGCAACTGCATCACCTCTACCCCAGAATGCCATCTTTTTATTTTTAATTTGATTAGATTCAGTAACAGCGGGTTAGATGTCTTTTGTTTCATAACAACTTTTCCATTTGGTCATCTTATTATCATTTAACTTAACATACTATGGGGCTCCTTCAATAGAATATCAATTTATTGTGTGGATGTGTTTTTTTTAACCCCAAATAGTAGGGATATTTAATATAGAAGTGCTAATGTCTGTATAAAATATAATTCTGTCCTGTGGAAGTCAAATGCAAAAAAATAAAACAAGCTTTTAAACTTTCCCCTGGTTTATATTAATAGTTGTAGACATACTCTCCTTTGGGATCTTACATGGACTAATGAGACTAAAGTATAAAAAAATAAAAGAAATCAGAAAATTTTCATGAATTGAAACAGTAGGCTAAGTGAAATTCTTGATGGAAATTCTTCAAAAGAGTGGCTGTCATATAGTTTATATCTCTTTAATCATCTGATCCCTAAGAGAAGGATGAAAGTAATTCAGTTAGAGTCCCTGAAACTACAGATATGAAATAGTTAACTTAAGTAAATGCAAAAAATTCTTCCTTCTACATGTTTTACAAAATAATCTATGCAGGAAAAGCTAAGCTGGGTATGGTGACACTTGCCTGTAATTACAGAAACCACATCAAGAGCATTGCCTTTAGCTTGAGGGCAGCCTGCAGTTTGAGGTAGATCTGAGCTACACTTGCAAGAAGTTACAGGGACAGGTTAGAGAAATTACGAAGGTCTCCTTCAAAAGTATGTTGCAACTGCCTCCAACTAAGATAAGGACAAGAAGCCTGTGGTCTTTCCCAACTCTAAGATCCCTAACTTACCTCTTCGCTCTGCCCAAATCAGTGAGATCTTAACCCAGGTACCCATAAGACCTGGGTATATAACCAAAGTTATTGTCACAGGACAGCACGTTTAATCTGTTGTCTAATGAAGCAATCAAGGCTGCTGGCACTGGATTGTGCTTCTCATAAATGAGCTATAAATCCTGCAGATGGGTGTATAATTCTGAACTGCTATTAGAAAAGTCATCAAAAGTCCCTTACTACAAGAAGCTAGATCACATACTAGGTTACCTAGGGCAGTGTACCCATAGCTGTAACGCATGACAGCCTGTGCTAGGCAACATGAAAAACAACATACAATTTTGCTAAAAGGCATAAAAAAGCGGCAGACAAGATTGTCAGATGAAAATCTGAGGCAGGTATAAATATACAATGAAGTGATAACAGTAACAGAGGCACATAGCAGAGAGGAAACACATTTGAGAGGTCAGAAAAGAGCCAGGTCAGATTTTTTGCACCATCAAAGAATACATAAGAAGGGTAGAAAAGATTGGTCATGTTCAGAGATATATACTTCACTCTTATAGAGAAGGGAGTTTGAACATTTTAGAAACTGAAGAAGTCCAAGACACTGTCCCCTTAGTTATAGAGACAATGAAGCAGCCTATGAAAGGTTAAGTGGATTAAAGAGAAATATAAAATCTACAGGTTACGGTCTGCCTCCCAGGAATGACAAATCAGACATGATTTCAGCAGCCATGTTAGAGAGAAAAGAAGTTACCTATAATATGGCCAAGGAATGAAGGAAACAGTAGTGTGAGTTCACATTTCTATTAGTACATAAACATGCTGAAGGGATGTGAGACTGAAATGTTAACATACCACTGTCATCCTCTATCCTGGGGACAGACCTCTTTGAGAGACATAAAAAGGTCAGTTTTTGTGCCATCCATATCAGTAACACACATTGCCACTTGTGCCGGGTCTACTCTCGATGGAGAACAGTGACTTACCGACACAACTTCAACAACTGAGCTAATCTGAACAACTGTGAATGAGCAAAGAAATGTTCCAAAGAAGGTAAACTTTGCTGAATCCTATGTTCAATGCTATTTGTCAAATAACTGAGTGTCGGAGATTTTTTTCTAAGGTCTTCAGTACCTCATTGTTACTTACATAATGGTTGAAGCTGGCTTACAATGCTGAGAAACAGCAGTGGAAGCACGTGACCACTGAAACAGACGAGGCTGGTGGCTTGTGAAAAGCAGCCTCATTACTCTATAGTTACACCTTATAATAACCAGAAGCAGAATCACCCCAAGCTGAATCCATCACACCTAAAATAAAGGAGCATGACACAATACTTGTCCTCCTTGATGATCACCTCAATGGAGCTCTATTTTCCTTGCATGCAGCGTCTGGATCGATCATCCAAGAAATTATCTTAACATCTTCTGTGTCTGTACTTTCTAAAGCGGTTGCATTGTGCATTTGTGCCATCTGTCACGCCTATTATCTTGATTTTTTGGTGGGTTTAAGCAGTTTATGTAAGTCGTTCCATCTAGCTTAATGACACAATTTATTATTATGCTTTGAAGCATTATTTTGAATTGAAAGGTTAACATATTTTTAACACTGGTCTCAAGTTTAAGAGCATCTCAAACAAAGCTAGAAGAAAAGTTGTTTTTGTCCCTTTTCTTAAGTAGCAAATTTTCATTCCTAAAGTTTTACATTGTGTCTCTGGGTGTGCTCATACCACATGGGCACTCAGAAAGCCCGCTCAAGTAATAAACAATGACAGCAGGCCAATTCTGGGAGCAGATGTGTGATGCAGAGGCCACCCAGCATCTCAAAATGCCTAGGCAAGCTACTGTTCAGACTCTCTCTCTCTAATATCCCCTTATATGCTAACACTTTTGTAGGCTCCAGTCAGAACTCCCCTTCACACATTACACACTGTGTCCATACAGTCTCACACTTTCATCCCTTAATTCCTATGACTTGTTGTTTTTGACTCTAACTTCTTGCCTAAGATCTATTCACTCCTACGGTGTCTATTAGCTATTTCCATTTTGTGTCTGCATAACCTCAACACAAGCTCCAAACAACTCATTGTCACTCTCTAAACTCTGTTATTGGGAGGTGTCTTTCCATTTATAATGCCTCCCTAGTCATCTAACACCAAGTACCAAATGAATCTCATTTTCCACCTGCATCAAAGCAATCATCAATTCCTAGTAATTCTACCACCAAAAACCTACCCGTAACTTAGCTGCTTCTCATCAGAGCACAGCCTAGACAGGTGTCGTGATAATTCACCTGAATCACCTCTAATCACTAACTGTGTCTGTAAATTAACTAACTCTCCTTGAGGTTACTGCATACTAAGATGTAACTTAAAACTCTTAAGCAGTTTCCTGTCGACTATCAACATCAAAACACTCTGTTCTTCTTAATGTCCTTCAATTACAGGTCATCTCCTTATTGTTCCACGGATAGGTTAGGATATGCATTCCCACACGGTGGGGAAGAGCTAAGATATGCCGCCATTAGCTCTTGTAATAGGCAGGTTACTTGATTTCTACATCCCCCCTCTGTGATACAATGTTTGACATAGTATAGGGTGCATGGGTAACAAAGTAAATGTTCACTACTGTTATTATCTCTTTAATTTCTCTTTTCTCTCACACAGCACACTGAAGGTTAGCCACCACAGGCATCTTTCATTTCCTCTTCTTACTTCCTCTTCCTTTCCACATTCCATCCCTCTCCCTGCATGGTCTCATCTGGAACATCCTTTGTACTCTCTGTACCCTACTAGGTGTCCTTACTATTTTGCTTGCCATGGTATGAGTTCCACTTTTTGTCAATTCCTTCCTTTTCCCTGCTGAGTTCTAAGCGATGAAAAGTGTCTCTCATGCCCACTACAACACAATAAAGAGTGTACAGTCTTTTCACAGCTCCAAATGCGCTCCTTTGCAAACTGCTGAAGTTAGGAGAGCAGCTACCCCCCACCCCCGCCCCAGCTTTCTTTAGAAAAAGAAAAGGCTGCCACAGAACAAAGGCCAAGATCAAACTGTGGCAGGAAAGGCAGTTTAAAGAAAAATCGGGGCTTTAGAAACATTTCAGGGTGTTTGCTACAGTATGTGTGAATCTCCAAGAGTCGAGGCGGGCATGTCTCTTAGTATCACGGGCCAATAGGGTTCTGCAGAGACACATCTTGACCAAGACAGCTTGGGGAAGTTTTTGCAGCTCCTGCCCTCGCCAGTAAACTGAAGTAGCCGACAGAAACATCCCCGGAGCACAGTTTGCCGTTTCTAGGTTAGAAATCTCTGAAGATAAAATTGAAACCTATCAAGAATCTTAGATATAATTCACCAAAACTCCATCTTTTACAGATAGGGAAACCGAGGCCCAGAAGGGCACAGCAACCGGCCTACAGCTACAATGTAACTACAGAGAGGAAGAACGAAACAAACCCCAGGTGCGCTTCTGGACTTAAGTGTCTTTCAGTACAATGTGTATGGCTACCTGGGTAAGCCAGATGTTCACATTTCGAATTTTATTTTGAAGCCTGGTGAAAGTTCCTGTCAGTCTTTTGGGTAACTTGTCTTCTTAGGCCTACAGCTCATTGCTCCCAAGTCTTCTCTCCCTCCTACAATACACTTTCCGTGTAACCCTGTATAGGTCGGGCTTGCCTAGGAGCGACGAAGATGATCGCTCCCTTTCCCCCACTCCCTTTGGACTTGTAGTGTAAACTTTTTCATGGAAACCAACTGTACCTTTTCAGGCCTTCGCCCGAATCCCCGAGGATTCCCCGCCGCCCCGCTCCCTAGACTCCACTGCTCGGCCCATTCCTTTGTAAGGGGACCCTGTGGTTGCTCTTCACCTGGGACTGCCATGACGCAGGTGAGCGGAGTCCTGGGCTTTCGAGATCGCGTTAGGTTCAGGTCCGTTGAGAGGACAACGCACTATCAGAGAGATCTCTCCCACTTGGTGACCGCTACTGTAGCACTCGGCAGGGGAAGGCCGGATGCGCGGTCAGGGTTGGCGGAACTAAGACGCTGCGGATGCAGGTTCCAGGGGAGTCCTATCGCGGAGCACACTGGTCGGAACCATTCCGGCCAGCTTCGGGAGGTGAGTGCCCTTCGAATACTTGACGTGGACGCAGCACTGCGATTTACGGATTGGTCCTTTAACTATTATGACAGTTAACACGACAAATTATCTAAAGTTGCAGAAGTCTTATAATATTTTCTAGCTACCCGAAGAACGCGGAGTCCCCCCCTTCCGGAGTTAGCGGTGCTAAGGTCCGGGAGCAACATGGCGGCGTCCATGAGCGGCTAGTTTGGGGACTCACTAGTGTTTAGTACGGCTGTCTTGCCTAACTCTGAACGAGTCAAGTTTTCCCCAAGTATCCAAGTTAAGGATCCGCCATTCACTCGCGACCACACTAAGGAGCGGAGTTCTGATCACTGACCAAGATGAGTAACATCTACATCCAGGAGCCACCCACGAATGGGAAGGTGAGACCCTCTCGCTGGACACCTGGACACCCCCAATCGAGAGCTCCCTGATTTAGGACGCGGAGGGAGGGGCAGGTGTCGGGTTCGTAGAATTGGAAAGACTAAAAGAACTGTGGTCCATACACTGCTTATGGACAATGTTGCATCTACATTATTTTATGTTGACACGTCTCAGCATATTTTTGAAAGAATCCTTTTGAGTAACTTCTCTATTCGCTAGTCTTCTTGGTCCAACTCATGTGGGCGCCTTCTAGTGTCTGGTTTTTTTTTTTTTAAGATTTATGCTAAGATTGTTAAATTGGTTGTTGTTTAACTTGGAGACCATGCCTCTCCCTACAATCAATTATTGAACGCCTGCTAAGCACCACATTCTCTATTAGGTGCTGATGATACAAAAGTTGACATGCAATTATCTAGTTATTACTCTGACAGAGCAAGTAGCTTAGTTTGGGATTTGAATAGTTAAGGAAAGTCTGCACGACAAGCTCTCGTTATGTAGTCAACGCTAATTTCCTATCTCGTCTCAGCCTCCCGAGGGATGGGGTTATAGTCTCACCAACCTGGCTTTCGTATGTAAGGTTTTTGAGGAGGAGATTATATTGCCATGTCAGTTTGCTGGAGTGAAAAACTGGAAATGATGGGGAAAACATCTTGGAGGAGGTATCTTTAGAAGCAGCAGAAGAGAGGAATGGGAAAGAATTCCCTGATAGGTTTTGTGAACATGCTATATTTCTTGAGGATAGTGTCAATGTCAGTTAACCAATGTTGCCAGACCATTCTGTTTTGCAGGCCCTTCACATTGCTGAACATTTGCTGAACACATATGCCATTTTACCTGTTCAAATGTCACTCTTAACAAAAAGGCCCATCAAACAGCAAATCTCAGTGATGCCCTTGTTCTCAGCACTTTCTGGCCCTCAGGGTATCTTAATAGTATCTTCTTTTTGTTTTAGAATACAAACAGTATAGGGACAGAGTATGAACATCTAGAACAATGCTTGGCACATAATAGATGGCGTTCAAATACTATGCAAGAAAGTATGGCTAGGCAAATGAATTAATACTGTTTTCTTTAGCTCGTGAAAGGTATTAAGCACAGGTGAGGGTGAAGTTAAACTGTTGTGAGTCATGGGCACATTTAGTTGTTCCATTCTAATACTCTGGTGACTTTTTTTTTCTTTTTTAAGAAATAAAACTGGGTCTCATATGAGTCCTTATCTGTCTTGGAACTGGTTGTTTACTCTAGGGAATGATTTGACATGATCCCAGAGTTAAAGCACTTTTGAACAGGAGGTCATTCATTTAACAAATATTTTAAAAATTGGTATGTATATGCAAGTGTGAGATGTATGCATTTGTTTACCCATATACACATGCAGATGCCATAGATGTTTGTGAACGTTCAGAGTATAACCTGAGGTGATGGTCTGTAGCACGAATAATAAAACCCAGAGACAGATATTGGGGTTAAAGCTGAAGATCAGAGAAGCAAAGTGACCAAGCCACCAGAGAGCTCTTGCCTGTACCAATGCTCAGAGCGAAGGGATGATCCACTGAACCTCAGATTGCATCTCCAGATTACACTGCTCCTCACCAAATCTGAGACTGTTCTGAGCTCCTTATAGTCTCTCTAGTGCTGGGATTAAAGGTGTCAGCTTTGTTTCTCTTTTAGACTGATTCACTGTCAGGTTGCACTGGGTGGCCTAGAACTCACAGAGATCCATCTGCCCCTGTCTCCTGAGTCCTGGGATTAAAGAAAGGTGTGTGCCACCACTGCTTAGCTCCTATGGCTACAGCTAGCTTTGCATTTGAATTCAGGTTCTCAGACTTGTATGCCAAGCAATATCCATTGAACTATTTCCTTGGCTTAGCATTTTTTTCTCCTGTAAAGTACATGCAAGGTTTTATGTTAGGTTTTAAGGATGAACTGGAAGAAAATCCATCATCACCCCTTTTATTGTTGAGTCAGTTAAAAGAATGTGTATTGATAAAATAATTGTGTAAATAAAAAAATAGTTACAAATTATGATGAATACTGTTTTTCTTCAGGATAGAAACTGGCTGAAGGAGAACATAAAGCATGGTCTACAACCTTTTAGAGCGTCTACTGTCTAATGGCCCATTAGGTACCGTAGGGTGTAGTTGGATTCAGAGTCAATGGAGCACATTTCCCTTATTCAGGAAGCATGGTATCACATAGGAAGAAGTTGGTGCATGACACCAGCTTACTTCTGAATGCCATCATGGCTGAAGGAGGAAAAAGACATTATTAATTTAGTAGCTTATTAGTGGAAAGTTTTAAGGCATGCAATGTGTCCAAACCACACATTTTTTCCTAGATGTAAGTTGTCACCAGCAATAAATATATGTGTGTTAGTGTTTCTTGATTTATTTATGTGTAGTTGTTCCTAGCATTATATGAATAATAACTCATTTCATCCTCACAGCAACTCTATGGGGCTAATATGTCTGTTTTTATAGAATGAAGTTAGTTGGATGAGAACTGGTGGATATTATGTCCAGGTAGTCCAAGCTAGTAGGTGGAAGACTCAGCTTTGAAGTTGAGCCCCTTGACACAGAGTATGTGGAGGGAAGGGTAATATGTGGTACTTTGTTCTCAGAGATGGTTACTAAACTAATGAAGGCATGTTTTAGGGCTTGGGCCACTATTCCTGAGACACTGGGAGAAAATGTGTGTCTATTTGTATTATCTTCTCTTTATTTGTTTAGTTATGTATGTGTGCAGACTCCTCTTGAGGATCAGTTTAGTTTAGTTATTCTGCAGTGTTTCTTTGCAAGAACATTCTGTGAGGTAGCCACAGATTATTGATACTAATCAACTTCTGTACATGTGGGATAGAAAAAAGTTGATACTGGAGAAATTAGACTCCAGCTGTGCCACAATGTTCAGACGTAGGGACTATCATTCTTTTTCGTTATTTGTAGTTATTGAGCCAGTTGTTGAATAAGCTCTTTCATCCTCTGGACTTAGCAGAGGTTCTGGTTGTTTTATATCAGCTGGTTCCACCAAAGAGAAACTGTTGCCATGAACCAATAAAAAGGAGACTATTACATATGCTACCTATTATAGAGATGATGATTTTTAAGACATAACCATTTTAGCGAGTCACAACCGGAATTTGATTAAGAATATTCCTTTGGGCCAGGACTGTAGCTAAGTTGGTAGAGTACTTGCCTAGCATGCACAAAGTACTGGCTTCAGTCCCCAGCACTGCTGGTAACACATGCCTGTACTCGGAGATAGAGAGGAAGATCAGGAGTTTAAGGTGAGTTTGAGGCCAGTCTGGACTACAAGGCTATAAGACTGGTTGGAAACAAAACAAAACAAAAAACCTCCACAAAATACAAAGGAGCTAGCAAGATGGCTCAATTGATAAAGTGCTGCTTGATGTGGATTCCCAATATCCTTGTGAAAATTTGGGCATGGCGGCATGTATCTGATACCCCAGACTGGGGGGTTGGGGTATGGCAGAGACAGGTGGATCTCTGAACTTATTCACAAGCCAGCCTTGTTGAATTGGTGAGATCCAAGTTCAGTAGAAAAGCTGTATCAAAAAGTTAAGGTAAAGAGCTGTTGAGAAAGACACGGTGTCGACCTCTGACCTCTGCATGCACATATGTATATGCCACCTGCACACATGCATACACAGAAGAAATACTTATTTCCAGATTAGAGCTAGCATGATTTCAATATAAGAAATAGGGTTCAAAGGCAATTTCAAATGAGTGATTGTAAAATTGCCTAATACTGTCATAATTCAATGGGTTCATTAACTTCTTAATTTCATAATTTGCTAATCAATTTTATTGGAAATAAAGCAATGAGAAGCAGTTAAAAATTCTCACTCTTGGTTTTTAAATGAATGAAGTTTGTTTTCTGTGATTAGAAAGAGTAGCTGCCTTTTTTTTTTTTTTTTGACCTTAGCTTTTTCTGAAAATGGTGTGTTAAATCATCTAATGATGATTGGGCTATAATAAATATTTGACATTTGTTCCGTGTAACAACAAAACCCATACAGAGTTTATAATATTTCTTCTAAAATTAAAAACTCAACAGTCAGTGTTGCCAGTTGCATAGCCAATTATCAAGCAAAATAAATACTTAATGTGATGTCATGTTCTTTCAATAGGTTTTATTGAAAACTACGGCTGGAGATATTGACATAGAGTTGTGGTCAAAAGAAGCTCCAAAGGCATGCAGAAATTTCATTCAGCTTTGTTTGGAAGGTCAGTATTACAGTCAATATAATTCTGGGGAGAAACTTGCCTCAGTTTACAGATAATGGCAGTGTGTTAGGCATTCGGGGCTGCTCCAGTAATTCCAGAACTTGGAAGGTTGATGCAGAAACATTTCTAGCTTCAGAATAGCCTGCAAAACAGTAAGACTAAGTAAGACCTTTTTTTTTTTTTTTTTTTAAGAAGGAAAAGAATAAACCACAATGTGTTTTTCACATTGAGGTCTGGTGCTAGCGACATGATGTTATTGAGCAGTACATAAGGACATAGGCTGCAGGGATAACAGCTTTCCTCCAGATAAACTATAAATTCTGATATTTAAACACAAATCAGGCCTGACGGTGATCTCTGCTAATTGACACTCATTTCATCTTTCGTTCTTTAAATATGGATATTCCCTAAGTTTGCCTCTCATTCTGTGTTATCTTTTCCACTCTTGTATTGTCTCCAGACAAAAGACTATTATTTTCAGAACTCTATTCATTTCTTCCCTTCTTGTGCCTAATTGATCTGATGGTGTAATGGTCTTCTCTACTGGAAACTTCTGTTAGCTACCTGTTAAGAGAAGCTTTTTCTTTGAGAGAAGCCTTTCCGCCAGCCTGGTTCCAGAGCCGCTTTCCCGCCAGCCTGGTTCCAGATCCACATCAGTCCCAGATAAACACACAGGAGGCTATATTAATTATGAAGCTGTTGGCCTTGTTTGTCTCTTACTGGCTAGCTCTGCCTTAAGTAATTACCCCATAATTGTTAATCTAAGTATGTTTCTTACCGGAGAATAGTTCCCGGCGTCCTACCCCCATGGCGTCACATGTTGACTCTCTTGTCTTTCTCCTTCCCAGAATCCTCCTGGACTCCTAGCCCCACCTATCTAGATTCCTATTGGCCAGCAGTAATTTATTGACATATACACAGGACTTCCCCAACAGCTACCACTAGACCAAATTTCAGCTTCTTCCTCAGATGGCCTGAACTTTCATTTCCATGACTGTAAATGCTGCATACCTGGCCTCCCTTTCATTTCTTTACCTTCTGTCTGTGCACATGATACTTGAATTTTTAGAACTTTGGCTTCCTAGCTTTCCATTATTCTCCATTCCATTAATCGTGTGCTTTCAGTCAGCCGTTCTCTCTATTTCCTGAACATTCCTTTCCTCTTCTGCACATCCTCATACTAGTTCTCTCTCTCTCTCTCTTTCTTTATGGTATATTTCTCACCCTGTTTTCACTTAAGCATAACCAATTGTATAATTTCGCTCTAAGTCTGTTTTTCCACAGAGCTTACCACCTGGAATTCACTGCTTTGTTATCAATTTGAGTCATGACATGATTATTTTTCCTTGTAAGAAACTTGGCAGAATTTTATATTCACTTGGGTATTTTTGTTCATGGATATTTTTGTATGCAGCTATATATTCCATACACTCTTTACAGTTTCTGTTTGACTTCTAGAATGCATCACATATGACTTCAAATACTTCAGTGTCTTCTAGTTATACTTGATTTTTAGAGACAGTGTTATTCATAGGGTCAGAAAACAATATTTTGGGTGAGAAACAAGGTTTTTAAGAATCCACAGTACTCTTTTGTATGACATAGACAAAGCTCTCCAAATAGAAATTAGGTAAATATAACACTGCAGGGGTAAGATTAAAGAAATAATAATAATAAAAGAATCCAATTCCTCAGATGAGACAAAGGAAATATGTCTGCAAAGACCATTATTAATAATTGCTATGACAGGCAGGCAGGAAATCAAATCAGACAGGTAGTTTAGTTAGAGAGGCCTCGGATAACTGTCAACAAAACTAAAAATCAAGGGGGACAGAGAAGTCTGACTTCTGGGAATAAGTTTAAAGAAGTCAAAAGCTCAAATTTTACAGGAGAGTGAAATTACAAAAACACTAGAAAGAATGAATGGTAAATGCAACCGAGGACCAGGTGAATGAAGAAACAGAAAGTATCTGGATAGAATTCGACAATGAAATAAACATGAGGTTCAGCTCGATGCTGAAAAAGCTTCCTTGCATCAAAAAAAAATTATTATTCCATTTATAAAAAGGCCAGGAGATAGAAATAAAGAATGGAAAATTTATGAAACGACCAGAGCAATTTTCATAATGAAACAGGCAAGAATTTAATGGAATTATTGTTGGGAAGGCTAAAAACCTGAGAAGACTAATTTTTTAAAAAGATACTCCTACCAGGAGAGATGGCTCAGCAGTCAAGATCACTGACTGCATTTCCAGAGGCCCTGGATTCAATTCCAAGCACCTACATGGCAGCTCACAACTGTCTGTAACTCTAGTTCTAGGACATCCAATGCCCTCTCTGGCCTTCAGGGTCACCAGACATGAATGTGGTATATAGACATACATGCAGGCAAAACACACAAGCACTTGTTTTAAAAAAATATATCCATTTAATTCTTTGAGTATCTGATTCAAAGAAGTTAGGATGTTTCTGGGTCTTGTAGCGCGCATTTCAATACAACAGCAGCAGAATGAAAGGAAAATGGACAGAAGCCTAGGAGGGAAGGAGAGAGCTCAGTCTCCCATATGGCCCTTGATAAAACAGGCTTTTTTTTGTTAAAAGATGTCACATTCTTTGCAGAACTCAAATATGTCTTTACAAATTTAACCTTGGACTTTGAGGTCTTTGCTTATAGTTAGGGAAACATCTAAAATAAATATATTTTGAAAGTTGCCAATCTAAAACATGGTATAAAACTGTTGCAAATGAAGGAACAGAAACAAAGCAAAAGGCTACTAATTTTCAATTTTTATAGAGGATGTCCTATGGGTACCATGCTTCTGTCTTACCTAAGTTAACTTTTTCCTTCTTAATGATTCTGGTTTCAGAGAATAAATCTTATGGGAGACCATATTTCATCTCTGCTGCATACTTGTGGCTAAAATATATTTATAGTGTAGAAATATATTTAAATTGTATGAATTCTAGTTTGGTTTCTGAAAATCATTTAAGTGAATGACTCTTTGATTGGACTAAAATATATATTGTTTGTTTCATTTGCTGAACATTTTGCTTGAGGGAACTGCAGTGGACAGTGCTGGAACTATGATCAGTTAATAACTTTAGTATATTTGGGTTTGTATATTTTTGTGTATTGGTAAGTTAATTTCCTGTCAGGGGAAGAGTCTCAGTCTCAACACTGTTGGCATTTGGGATGGGTTAGTCTTTGCTGTGCAGACAACCCTTTGGAACTTAGGGTGCTTGACAGTATATTTGCCGCCTTGTATTCCAGTAGTATTCTCTAGTTGTGATATTTCAAAATGTTGATAAATATCCCCTGGGATGCTCCTCTGTTTCTCCTAGCTGAGAGCCATTGATGTGTATTAAATTTTTGTCTTCGAGAAAAGTCTGGAGATAAAACAAAAGCTAAAACTAAAGCACCGTTGTTTCTGTAGAAGCCTATAAAGTTATGAAGATCGAATGTTTTATAAAATGTATTGAGGAAAGGTTCAGGTCTAAAAGAATACTTAGCATTCTAGAAATTAAATCTGTGACTCTCTTTGTATATTAACTATGATAACTAAAGCCACACTGACATTTGGAAATTGATATATTTCAGCGTACTATGACAACACAATTTTTCATAGAGTTGTGCCTGGTTTCATAGTCCAAGGTGGAGATCCCACAGGCACTGGGACTGGTGGAGAGTCCATCTATGGAGCGCCATTCAAGGTCAGATCAATTTATTGTATTCTAAGTCAGCTTGGAATATGTCTTCCAAAGTAATAGTATTCCACAAGAAAAGTGTCTCATGTAGTATACGAAAATCAATAGAGTTAGAATTATTTAGAGATAGGAGAAAATATTACCTACCAACCATTTTTTCTGATTTATTTTGTGCTAGATTAAGTTGAGGTAGAACGAAGGGTTGCAATAAGAGTGAGGGAGAGAGAGAGAGAAGCAGGATTCAGGAACAAGTCCATATGGCGTATTTCCTGATGTTTGGCTGTGTCTGATCTCAGCAGCCAAGTTTAAGAACATTGCATGTGCTATTTTAGATTAAAACAATTTGATATAATATTATATGGAATTTTCAGTAGTCTCCTTGGGCTGCTACAACAGACTGTGGGGGAAAATTAGGATTTCTTTCTTTCAGTTGTGGAGGCTAGGAAGTCCAAGTCACAATGTCTGACCACCCCTCTTCCTGCCTTGAAGAGGTATGGGAAAGTAAAAGCCAAATCTGATGTCCTGATCTTTTCTTATAAGAACATGAACCCTATTGGACTAGAATGAGAGCCGAACCCTTATGACTTCATCTTACTTTTTCATGCTTATAATGTTCACCACCTTGACAGAGCCACAGATACAGCTGCACCAGGGATTAAAACTTGAATATAAAGCTTTTAAAGAACCAAGCTTCCATACCGGAGCTTACTGTATATTATGTACTAACTGTCCACAAAAGAACTCTGTAGCACAAAGCCATGCATGATTATCAGTCAGTCGTAAGTGAGGATAAGGAAGAGCCACAAATATTAGGAAAAAGGTATATTAATCAAAAATGGGTGCATAATTTCTCAATTAAAATTTTTATTAGATTTATTTGTTTTATGCATGAATGTTTTGCCTGCATGTTATATGTTTACCATGTGCTGCTTGCTGACAGCAGAGGTCAGAAGAGGGCATTGGATCCCTGGAACTGGAGTTATTGACGGTTGTGAACTACCATGTGGATGCTGGGAACTGAACCCAGGTTCTTGGCAAGATTAACAAGTGCTCTTAACTGCTGAGCCATTTCTCCAGTGCTGGCCTGTGATTTCTTGAGTGCCAGCATAAACTTAAGAAGGAAAAGAATTAATCTGTTTAAGAAATTAGGGACAGTTATGGGCTTAAATACAACAGAAATTGTATTTGTTATTAGTCAAATTATAACAGTGTTAGGTTTTTTGAGTGAATAATTGTTAGTAGTTCTAAAAACCAGGAAACTTTGAAAAGTTCATATTTATTCTAGTGGGAAAGAGCGTCTGGAGATTCCTTTTATGTTTTCCCGGGTCAGTGTGATTTTTAATTGTTTCAAAGTTTCTATCGAGGGTCCTGCTATATTGCCTTAGTTGGAATTTCAATATAGTACAGACTGGCTTTAAATTTGTGACTGTCTTTGTGCCTGAGCCTCCTGCATGCTAGGAGGTATGTGCCAACAGTTCCTCACTGCAGTATGATCTTGATTGTTGAGTAAAACAGTGGAACTTCTTTTTTTTTTAAACTTTGTTTCCAGACAATAGTCACCCTGGAAAGTAGGACACAGTAGTTAAAAAAAAACTCAGCTGTCACTGCTAATCACATCTCATAATTTTAGGACCTCCACTTGGTAAGAAATATTCCTGTATCCTGCGAATCCCATTGTTTAATCCTCACTTCTCTGTTCTGGTGTTTCCTTTCTGAGATTTTTGCTTTGTTATTTTAATAGGGTTACTATTGCCATGATAAAATGCCATGACCAAAAGCAACTAGGGGAGGAAAGGGTTTAAATTTCACTCACTGTTTCCCATAATGGCTCATCAAAAGCAGTGAGGGTGGGAACTCAGGCAGGGCAGGAACCTGGAGGCAGGGACTGATGCAGAGGCCATGGAGGAGTGCTACTTACTGGCTTGCTCCTCATGGCTTGTTCAGCCTGCTTTCTTGTACAGCCCAGGACCATCAGCCCATGGATGACACTTCCCAACAGTGGGCTGGACCCTCTACCCTTAATAGCAACCAAGAAAATGCTTTACAGCCTGATCTGATGGAAGCATTTTCTTAATCAAGGTTCCCTCCTTTCAGATGACTTTAGTTTGAGTCAAACTGACATAAAACTGTCCAGAACACATGCTGTAGAAATATCACAGATTCAGGGAATTTAAACAGCAGGGGTACTTTACTCACAGTCCTTCTGAAAGCTGATCAGTCAAGAGGTCAAGGTGTATGACTCTCTGGTTCCTGATGAGATGGACTGAGTTCAGCTCTTAAGAAGAATGTATTAAAGAAAAATAGCATCTAATGCTTGAAAAAGCACTGATTACAGAGATGGGTGTGCTATAGATGATCTCAGTGTAGGTCTGAGGGGAAATCCTAAGTAGCTTTCAGAACAAGGAAGGTACCCAAGGAACAATGGTTCTGCATTGTTAAAATCTGTCAAATGAGACTCTTGCCATCTCTGAGAAGAGTAAACTTAGAGAGGCTTAGGACTTTTAAAAGCACAGTAAAATCACTAACACATCTTAGTTAGGGCTCTGAATTGAAAAAGAAGAAGAAAGCCACTGCTTCACAACATGTGGAACCGGATGGGAAGGAGAATAGCTGGTGGCTTCCCAGCTGTTCAGATGGGTTTCTTGAGCAGGGAAATGATATTACACCCCGAGTCCCTTCCTCTGTGTGAATGGAGACTTGCCATAAACAGCTATGTGGCTGAATATATTTAGAAGATACAAGCTGCTGAATTCAGGTTGAAAAGGATTGAACAGATAGTAAATTTGGATTTGATTGTACTTCAAAATCAGTTAAATAAAGCTTCAGCATATTTGATTAGAAATTGTCCGAGCCTCACTGGTCTACTGCATAGCTGATTGAATATGAAGGGTCTTGTGACTGAGAACAGTCACTAAATCTCCTTCATTCTTGTAGGATGAATTTCACTCGAGGTTGCGTTTTAATAGGAGAGGACTGGTTGCCATGGCAAATGCTGGTCCACATGATAATGGCAGCCAGTTTTTCTTTACTCTGGGTCGAGCAGATGAACTTAACAATAAGCACACCATCTTTGGAAAGGTCAGTGTCCATAAGTTAAGTATATGGTTTGGTTTTGGTTTTATAATCTTTTAAGTTTTTATGGTACATACAATTAACACATAATTACTACCTTCAAAATGTTATACTGTTTACTTGCTGTTTTCAGAAATGATGGAGTATGTTCTAGTATGCTGAACTGTAAAGGACTCCCTGAACTTCGGGTACTTTAAGCCGGTCATTTGTCATGTTCTTTGTCATAGTGGTGGCATTAGCTACTTAAGGCCACTTTAGCCAGTGTTGTTGTACTTTTAAAAAGACATTTAGCCAAAACTATTTTACAGTTTAAAGTTACCAATGATAAATCCCCTTAAATATAAAGTGGAAGTTGTATCAGTACTTGTAACGTTACTGGAAGTATTACTTTGAACAATTATCTATTTAATCCTGTTGACATTTAACAACAAATGAAAACATGATTTTCCCATAGAATTTTCAACAGTTCTTTTTAGAGAGGGACCCTGAAAGCATCTCTTGCTCATTCTCCCCCCTTCTCATCTGAATATCCTTGTATTAATGCTTAGGCATAGTAGATATTAATAGCTTTTTAGCCCCCTCTGCTGGTTCAGTAAGAATTGCTCCCTTACGTCCTAGACAAAAGTGAGTTTTGACTATAAAAGGATGGAAACAATTCAGCACAGTTGGACAACTAAACCTTTGAATTCAAGTCATACGCAAACTGTAAAATATATCATTGTTGCTTATTTCTTAAGGACATGAGTTAGGAAATATGTACTGTTATATTCTTTTGATGCATTCCTAATGCAGGTTTTTCTGGCAATCATAAATTTTTCTTACTTGTAACCTTTTTTTTATTAGCAAGATGAGACTTGAGTTCCAATCTTGTACTGTGTTTTACACTCGTTGCTATATAACCCAGGCTTGGAAGAACATATAGTACAGCAGTCTATGGGTCTGCTTTTTTTAAGCCTCTGTCAAGGAAGGCAAATCTTAACTTCTCATTTTTAGAGTTTTTGTGTAGATTAGCTTAGGCAATAACCTGCAAAGTATTTATCATACTGTTAATGCTTAAGCTGCTTTAAGTCCAAGTTTGTTTGTGATATTTGGGTGAACTGTCATAGTAAGAAGGTTGACATTGTATTTTTTGTAACTGACCTTAGTATACACTGGAAATACATGAGGCTTATTAAGGGACTGAGCCCCTCTGTGCTTTTCAGTATTAAACTGAGCATGCTTTATCTTGATTGTTAATTGTACATAGTCTCAGTAAAAAATATAAAGATTCTCTTTAATTATTTAAAAACATCTTTTCAGAAGTCCATTGTCTATTGAAAAAATGACTACAGATGTTTGCGGTCATGTTCTGTGTTTTTGTTTGGTAGGTCACAGGGGATACAGTATACAACATGCTGCGCCTGACAGAAGTAGACATTGATGAGGAAGAAAGACCTCGCAATCCACATAGAGTCAAAAGCTGTGAGGTAGGCCCATGACTGCTAGGTGCCACATTGAAACCATTAGACAAAAGATTTATACCAAACACAATGTTTAAGAACAATTGCTGATACAGATGTTTTTTAATTAAAGGTTTGGATTCTGATATGAAACTTTAGATGATAGTATAAAGAATGGAAAGCTCAATGCATAATGAAAAGTTAACAGAATTAGGTTTCTTTGCTTAAAGAAGTGGATTTTAGGTGAATTAAGTTCGTCTTTATAGAGGAAGTGAGGTAATCATTAAGAGCATTTGATATGGAGTCCAAATGTCTGAGTTGGTTCCTTATGTTTTTCCTTCTGTAAAATAGGTATCAGATAAAGTATCTTTTCTTGAAAAGAAAATGTTTTGGGACAATCAGTGAGGCCGCGTGACCGGAAGTGCATTGGGTACCCCTGCACTAATCCAATGCATGTAGGGAGGGTTAGACACTAGTGTTAGTAAATTTCAGTGTTGTTTTTCATTTTTTATAAGGTTAGAAAACTGGAATAATGTCTTCAAAATGCTTCTTTTCATAGGTTTTGTTTAATCCTTTTGATGACATCATTCCAAGAGAAATTAAAAGGCCCAAAAAAGAGAAACCGGAGGAAGAAATCAAGAAATTGAAACCCAAAGGCACAAAGTAATTATAGTAGAAAGATTTTTCTTCAACTTTAATTTATTTAGTTAATTTGTTTTTACAGTCACTGTTTACCTTAAGGGGAAATGTCATTTTAAATCAAAGGGCTAGCAGAATTGGGGAGGGGTGTTTAAAAGTGAACATTTCTTACATTTAATGACATGAAGTTAGAAATGTATTGTTGCAGATGACCATATAATATGTGCTCATAAATATGTAGTATTCATTATATTTATATACCTGAATTACTGAGAAACATTTGCTTGTTTGTAAGTTAATTTATCCTTAGGATAAACAATTTGGAGAGGCAAGAACACTATAGAGAATATTTTTAATGTGTGCTATAGGATTGCATACTTTATTTAATCTACTTTGGTTCTATTCAAAGTAATCTTTTTATAAATATTTTTAAATAAAACCATTTCATTATTCTGATTTTCTTAAAGATATTTTTCTTAAAAATAGCAGTTTATTTTTTAATAGTTTATTAGTTTGTGTTAATATTGTTTGCATTTTTCTCTGTTTCATTAAAAATAATACAGTTAGATTTCAACTTGCCACTTTGCTAAATTGTAGCATCCTATTTATCAGTGTTAGATTCAGATAATTCTATGCATGGGCCTGGTACACCCAGTATCTCTTCGCTTTGGCCTTTTCATGGCAAATAAAGGGGGGGTTATATTAAGCACAACACCTGGTTGTTAGAAAGGTTAACATACAAATGCCCTGAAGTATATATAGGTGATCAGTGCATACTGGTTCCCACAAAGTAAATGCATTGAACTGTGTTAATAAATTGTCAAATATGAGCCAGGCACTTTAACAAACAGTAGATGTCTTGTGGCAAAATCCCTTTTTCTAGTGTTGTATGTTTAATTTTCTTTTATCCCACCATTGATTTCTTACTCCAATTCATTGGTGCTGAGAAGTCATTGTCACTGTGTTAGGATACAGTGTTTCAGTATTAGCATTTAGCCTGATGAAAAGTCTTTCTTTGTGTGTTTTTCATTATCTTGTTTTCATTCAGAACTTTAGTAACTTACAGTTCATCTTACCTGAGTTTTTGTTGTTTAGTTTGTAGGAGCTGAGACATTTTCTACCCATCAACTCTTTGTGTTTCTTAGTTTTAAAACGTTAAGATATATTTGTCAGCTGTTAAAGTAGTTTAATTACTCTCCTGTAGTACTCTCAGGTTTTCTCCCGGCTTTGATAACTGTCAAAAGCTTATTTCTGTCATGCGTGACTGACTGCACTATGGTAACGTTAGTGGTCTGAGGCCAAACCCTTTGCTCAGAGTTGTAGATGCTGGAACACTCCTGCTGAAGACTAAGTGATAATGTATAAATAAAATGTGTTACTTAGAAACCTGTGCTATTTCCTGAAAATAGGGCATTTATGAATTTCGTCTAACTTTTCTCCTGAATTTTCTTTTCTGATAGAAACTTTAGTTTACTTTCTTTTGGGGAAGAAGCTGAGGAGGAAGAGGAGGAAGTGAGCCGCGTCAGTCAGGTAGTTCCTGTTTGCCCTTTGCTTTATATTCTTGTATCTCCTGCTCTGCCCAGGGCAGCATGGTTGGCTTCACTTGCATAGTAAGTGTGCATTGTATTGTGGCATAAAGTCATTTGTGTAGATTCTGAATTGATTTGCTCTCATAGAAATATTGTTCATATTTATTTATTTATTTTTAATGTTGGTAGTTTTCTGTCAGTTGAATCCAGTCTTTAAGTATTTTGAATGGTTTGACTTTATGATTCAGATTTTAGTTGCTATTTACCTTTTATTTTGCTATATGACGATTATCACTATTATAATAGTCAATGACTCAACTACTTAATATTCATTTTAATGTTATTTCCATATATTGTGTTTGCTTCATTAATTCTCAACTAATTCCTATCATAGCCTTTTGAGATAGGTGTTGTTGTGAACCTTATATACATATTCAGATTTACTCATAAGTAAAACAAGGTTCAAAATAATGCCTATAGATTGTAATTATAAATATAAAATCACATACCTAGTAAGATGCTACAGCTGGAATTGACCTCTGAGTGAGGCTTTCTGCACTTGTCTGGAACACCTACCATATTTTGTCTATTTTTGGAACAGATTGCGATATTTGTACCCAAAGAAAATCACCTTCAGAAAGTTTTGGTTCCAAATGTTGTGCTTTGTGATTCTTTCTTGGAAGAGAGTGAGCACTGAGACCTGAGAATTAGATTAAGCTTCATAACCCAGTTCAGCTTTACCTGCTTATGATGATCTCCTGTTTCTCCCCGTGCTACCAGCAAGACAGACTGAAAAACACACCATTGTTGTTCTTGTCTTCTTTATCCTTGTGCTTTCATCAGTAGTGAGCATGGTTTAGATAGGGTCATGCTGAGCACAAACACTCGTGCAACAAAACTTTTTCTAGGGAGATGCTAAACACATCTACTCAACCTAGCTAGGGAGTTCACAGCAGACCAAAGTGTAGATACCACCAAAGTCCATCTTGGTGAACCAGTGAGTTTTATTGGGGTTATTTACGAGGGAATGGAGCCGAAACAACTCAGACAGCTGCATCACCAAAACCCATCTCAGCATGGCTGATAGCTCAAAAGCTGGGAACGTAGAGCATGCAGCACAGCCAGCAAGCAGATCAACAGAGTGTCCCTTCCAAGGCTCAGTTAATGTAAACCTCTTCCAGGCAGCATGGCTATTTTTCACTTGTTCCAGGTAGATAGTCTGTTTTCAGAGTCTTTGCATCTTGGCTCCTCTGAGAGTGATTCTCAGTGTTCTTTATTGTTTTCCTCTTGGGAGGTAGGGGCCTACTGAATCTGGTTGGCTTCAGGGACTTCCTGAAGCTATTTTGAAGTGTTTACCTTCTGGCTTAAGACACTTCCCTGCAGTGTGCTTCAATATCAGGGGAAACTGCAATACAATAGCACTCTCCTTATATGCCCACATTAAAACTGAATGAAAATGGGCTTGTGGAAAAGATAATTTGTCCCTGATTCTTGCTTACTTTTTATAGTATCAATTTTAACAACATGAGATCAGTTACTACTATCTATAAAAGATAGGATGAATATTTCTTTTGCCTTTTTATCTTTATTCTGAGCCACTTCAGGAAACGGTTGTATATTAGATTTCAAAGGTAAATTCATTTTTAAATGAAGACATTCCTGCTACAATCATCAAGAATTACTCTGCCACCATGGTGTTGAAGTTATCTTCTGTAGATGCCAGCAATTGGTGTTGCATTGTTGGTGATTCAAATTTGTACCTCATCAGAGTGACGAATACAGGATGCTATATGCCATAATTCCTGGGGTTTTTTAGTGAATGGACAAAACCATAATTGTTAGATCTGGGAATTACCAGTTCTTGGTTGATGCTATCTAAAGCTGTCAAATTCTGCAGGGCATAGAAGAGCATATCTGTAATTCTAGCACATGGAAGGCAGAAGTAGGAGGTTTTCAAGTTTTAGACCAACCTGAGCTATATAATCCTGTCACAAAACTATGTCAAATTTCCCTATGCCCTTCTTATGGTATCCCAATCCCCACTTTTCTTTTTTTCTGGTATGTTCTCTACGTTTCTTCTGTTGTTCTCCTTGTTTCCTTAAGAATTAGCTCCACTGTCACCTCACATTGCCTCTTTTCCCCCAAGCTGAGCTAGATATGCCTTTCTTTGACTATTTGCCTATGTTAGCAAATTACATTGCAATATAAGTAATGCTATGCATTACTTATGTAATAAACTTTAGGTTATTAATAATTTAGTTTATTGCATAAGTAATTCCTTTAACAATTATGCTATATAGCCATTATTTCTGTAACTGTCAGTGCTCAGGGACTTCTCATTAGGGGATGGTGGAATGAGAACTGGGCATAGCTTTATAGCTTTATAGCTTCTTAGGCCTCTGGGATAATTGTGAGTGATGCAGAAATCTCCCCTAGCCCAAGCCATTGGTGATGCAGCTGAGAATTTTCACTGGCAGTGCAGCACTCTTGACCTGCTTGCTAAGGTCCTGTAACCTAGAGAAAGAAGATGGGTGGTGGGTGGAGTTGTCTTGTATTTTTGTTGAAATAATGTTTCTGGTAATAAAGTATGTTTTTCTTATAGTTACTTTAAATGAACTAGGAAATTATTTTGAAAATTTTCTGTTAGCTAAAATTAAATGTACCAAGCTTGTCTTCCTTCTGCTGCTTTCTGTTTCCAAAGGATAAAAATAATATGCTTAAGTTCTACCGCATATTGAGAACTTACACAATCCATTGCTGCAAGACTGAAATGTAAAAAGAGTCCATCAAGGTAACCCTGGCTTCCTCTTTCTTAAACCCGAGAAACTCCCAACAGCTGAGAAAGAAGAAAACCCTTCCCTCTGCCAAGGAAGTTGCAGCCGCTAATATTTTTCAATGAGAATTGCTAACCCAATGCTGCGGGAGCCACTGTAATCTCCAATCTGACCTTGTTCTGGAGGGGAGGGGTGCTGTGATAAAATCCTGCCACATAGCTGCATGTCGTGGCTTGCTTGTTTCTTCCCGTCCAGTCGTTTAGTAGATAGCACTCTGAATAGCCCCCTACTTTCTCAGCCCTTGGCCAAGGTGAGACTCTCTTACCCTCCGCACCTCACTATGTTTTGTGACTTTTCTGTCCCTCATATCAGTGCCCTCCAAAGCTTCACTTCTGACTTCCCTCTGCACTATGTTGTTTTTTTAAATAGTTTTACTTATTTTTCATTTTATATGCATTGGTGTTTCACCTGCATGTATGATTGTGTGCGGGTGTTGGAGCTCCTGGAACTGGAGTTCCAGACAGTTTTGAACTGCTGTGAGTGTGCTGGCCATGGAACCTGGGTCCTATGGAAGAAGAGCCAGTGCTCTTAACCATTGAGTCATCTCCAAACCCAGTGCGTGGCCCTAACAAGCTTTCATTGAAGAAGTTTTTCAGGTCAGTTTTTTCCTTTTGTTATAATTGTGATTAGCCTTGTTTAGGCCTTCTGTGTTTCTGGCCTGAGCTGCTGCCCTGTCTACCCATGGGTCTGACATCTCCCTTTTCTTTTCCTTCCAGTCATGGCTACCAGAGTCACCTTCCTGAAGCCTAATGTTGCTGTAGCCATGGCTTCCTTGACTCCCTACTTTCTCCTAAACTTTATTTCAGATTAAATAACTTGAGATAATCTTTTTTTTTTAATTTCTTTTCCAGATCCATGGAGTCAGAATTTTTTAGTAAGAGGTTTAGTAAAACTGTCACCAATGACTTCTCCTGGAGTTTTCATAGCAGAGAAATATCAGGATCACCAGAGTGGGGGATCTATGTGGGTCACTGTTTGCAGTTTTCCTGCTTGAAGTGTCCTGTTCCACATCTAGATGCTAGAGATATATTTATTTTCAACACCCAAAATACCATCTTTTCTAAATGTTTTTTCCAGTGTTTGTAGATCTGTTCTGCTTCTACCCTAATGTCTATTGTTCATGTTATCCTGTGTTTCTTTGCAAAGCAGTTGTTTTGCTCTATTATAAAGGAGGCTGTGATTGTACTCTTCAGTAGATCATTCCAGTTCTCTGTATTCTTTGCTTTAAGGGCTGAATAAAGTTCTAGTCTGTGAGCTCCTCGAAGGTAGATTCTGTTCATCTCTGGATCAACAGTAGAGTAGCAATAGCTTAGATTCAATATCATTGAAATCATACAAATCCATTGAGACCTCATTTTTCCCTGACACTATGTGATCATGAATGATTGCTTTCACTTTCAGGTTTTCTTTGTGTAAGATATATCTGTTGTGAATAAAGATACTTTGATACATTAAACCATCCAGAAAGACACCATTGAAGGTTGTGCCTTTAAACAGAATGGTATCTTTTATGTTGTAATTGCTATTTTATTCTTGGACTTAAAAAGCTGAACAAGGGACTGGAGAGATGACTCAGAGGTTCAGAGCACTGGCTGATCTTCCTAGGGTCCTGAGTTCAAGTCCCAGCAACCACATGGTGGCTCACAACAATCTGTAATGAGATCTGGTGCCCTCTTCTGGCCTGCAGGCATACATGCAGATATAACTCTGTATTCCTATTAAATAAATAAAATTTTAAACAAGCTGAATGATTGTAACATGATCAAAATTATTATATAGAGGCTGCTACCCTCTTGTCCAAACATTATAGAAAGCTGCTCAGAAACCTTACCACAGGCTGGACATAACTGGTCAGTGTCTTTCCTAAGAGGCAGCCTGAGCAAGCTTAGGGTACATGTGTCTCCTCCACCTAATGCCTTGTAGCTCATTCTGGATCATTTATCTGTTTCCATCTACTATGTAATAGACAACTGAGCAATTATATTTGAGAAAACAAAACAACCAAAAACAGTTTGAAGTTCACTCACTTAGAGGACAGAAATTGCTCAAAGATCTGGATAAAAACTAAATCTAATTTTATTTGTGTTTATTTAGTTCATGTACAGTTATTCAGACCATGAACTTGTTTCACATACAGTTTCTTCTTTTTGGTAAAATGATAACTTGATATACAAAAAGGAAATAGACTGGATATTAGATGTGGTCTTAAAATTTAGTCTCATTTCTAAGTGTTGCGATAACTAGAGCCAAAGCCAAGTGAATCCTTTAGTGACAGAATGATTTGAAGTTTCAGTGCTTGCATGAAATTAAATATTTCTAAAAGGCTTAAAAGTAATTGTTCCATTATTCACTTGCTTATCAGGTTTCTTTTTTCAGCAACTCCACAGTGGTAAGCGTTATTCCAGAGCTAGATTGCAAGTTAATAATTGCTACGGTCTCAACTGAGGCATTACTGTATGTGAGAGAAGAAATCTGAGTCCCCTCTGGTTTGTGGATTATCAGTGTGAAATTACACACACGCTTTCACCTCACTCCTTTATGTATGCAAGGTGTCTCTCCCACGTGGATTAGCTTTGCTTTATTTGTCTCAGTATCTATGTACTACCTGATGAAAACCTCTTTGAAATCATAGAATTTATAGCTCCAAGGGATCTAGTCCAACTTCCTTTCTTTATAGCTGAGGAAACTGAGACCCTGGCTAAGTGACTTGCCAGACTCACCTGTTTCCTTTCGGATAGGATTGCATGATAGAGCACTCTGTTGACTTTCTCATGCTGCTCCTATGGGTGCGTGAAGAAATCTAATCTGGGAGATAACACTGTCAGATGGATTTGTAGCTGACTGAGTACTTGGGCCCAGAGAGTGCTGTCTTGTCAATCTATGTCTGATATTTTTTGTTTTTTTTCTTTTTTAACTCTTAAGTTGAACCATAATAGGAGTATTTGTGAATTCTGTATGTTAGTTCAGTAAGTCCAGAATGTGTAAGGCAAGACAGAGTAGATAGTATATCTTGAACTGCAGCCTGGACACTCAAGTGTTTTTTGGTTTTTTGGTTTTTTTGGCATGTTTTTTGTTTATGTTGCTTTTCATTCTGGGAATGAAAGTTGCTCTTAAGGCCTCCAGTTACTAAGATGAGGCCCACACATATTCTGGAAGATAATCCCAAAGCCTGCTGATCTAAATTAGTCACATCCAAAAAAATTCAACATCTAGACCAGTGTTGCCTGTAACACTGGGCATCATGGTCTCGAGAGGTCATGGTATGAATGAACTATCACAGTTAGAGGCAGTGCCCAGACATCCTGACTTGTTGACCACTGTTGTTCCTGTCTGTCAGCATGCCTTCTAGCTCTTTCTGCCTTCTTCCTTCCTTCCTGTACTCTGTCTATTTTGATGCTAATGATATTTTTCTGCTATTTTGCTCCTCTTTATTTTTCAATATGAAATTCCAGGTCCACCCCACTTGGTGTTCACTTTTAGATATGCTGGCAGTCAGTTTTGACTTTCTTGCCAAGTCTTTATGCAGAATTCACTAAGTATATGTAGTCTTGTTTTTAACATCTAAAACCTTTAGCCAAATAATGGCCTTAAAATAGGTCATTCAGGAAGAATTAGCATTAAAAAGAGAGTCAGACTTCTGTTCCAGTCTATTCTAATTTTTCCATTCTTTGCTAGTTACTTTCTGTGCTGCCACAGTTTACTGTAGTGGGAATGAGTGTGCATTTAAAAGCTGCTTTTGATCCTCTATCTCCATGCTAACTCAGTTTGAAAACTTAATTGAAATCTAGAGTGGTAATGGTTATTCAGCTTAATTTATGAGTTCTTCCTGTTTTCAGGTCTTATTTTAAATCACCATGAAACAAGTTTATTAGGCTGTTTAAAGTGAGTTTTCATTTGAGAGCTCAACAAGAACCTCATTTTACTTCTCTGTCTCTGTCTCTCTCTCTTTTTTTCTCTCTCTCTTTCTAAGTAGCCCTGGCTAGCCTCAAATATGCAGTTTTCCTGTTTTAGTCTCCTGAAGGTTGGGATTACAGCATGCAGCACAGCACTGTAAGGTTGGGATTACAGGATGCAACACTGTATTTGGGGGGAACCTTCTTTTTAAAAAAGTAATTATTTTAAATTGACAAATAAAGTTATAAATATTGTATACAAATTAATGTGTGTACAGTAGGATGTCCGAGTTAAGCTAATTAACATACACCCATTTCACCTACCACATACATGCTGTGGTTGAAATGTCTCCGTGGGCCTGGAGAGATGGCACGGTGGTTAAGAACACTTGCTCAGAGGACACAGGGTTGGTTCCTAGCACCCATTTGGTAATTCAGATTTATCTGTAAATCTAGTTCCAGGTGATCCGTTCTGACCTTGAGGTTACCAGGCATGAATGTGCTGCACATACATACAAATAGGTAAAACATTCATACACATAAAATAAGAAACAAAAAAAATTGCTGTGATTCTCAGGAAGATAAGAACTCACTTTTAATAATTAACATTACAAATTTTGTGCACGCATTTAATTTTCTCCTGTGAAGTAGGTAAGGCTGCTATTCTGTTTTGTAGCTAAGTGTTCTGAGATCTTACAAATTTTATTGCTTCCACATTATAAGTTTTCAGCTAAAAGTTATACGATTGTAGGATATTACATTTTGAACCTCATTTGATCAGATTGCCATCTTTTGCTGTTGTGACTATTTTGAGATGGAGCCTCAAGGTGTTGCCTTAGTAGGCCTTTATCTCCAGGGCTGAACCGACCCTCCTGTTCAGCCTGAGTACCTGTGATTGAGCCCAGGCAGGTGTCACTTTGGGCAGCACCTGTGTTATTGTCCTGTGTCCTTCCTGCTGTGCTCCCTTCTGTTTGTGAACAACTCTCCCAGTCTCCATAGTTAGACAAAGGCATTGATGAGTCATTCATTTTGTCCTTTCATCACTCCTGAGCTTTTAAAGAGGCTGTGGAACAGCAAGTGCAGACTAATGGCGTAATTTAGAGTCTGTGATTTTTAAAACTACAAATGACAGTGTATTTAAATTCACTTTTTTGTTTTGTGATAAAAACTAGACTATTGATGTTTCTTCAGAACTGGACTTGATTTGCCAGTGTGAAATTTGGTTTCCACTGAATAACAGGAAGTAAGATATATCCCAAATAAAAATGTTCTCTTCACCTCATCTGCTGACCAATAAAGATACAAGATCAGAGTTCTTCTAAAACTGCCTTTCTAGTGGTCTAGTAAGGCAAATTATAATAGATGATACAGGAAAATCAAAACAGCAAGATGCCATGGTATTTGGAAAAACCCAGACTTCCAAATTCCTTAAAGTTAGATTATTGTTATAGTTACTGATGATTTTCAAAACCTTTGGTGATGGCATGATGCTCCTTAATTAAAATGTGCTTTTGTGCTCAGGCTGTAGCTCCAGAGAACACTTGGCTAAGTACATGTGAGGACGTGGGTTTAATCCCCAGAATTGACACCTCCACTGCGTCCTCTTCTTCAGCCCAGGTGCTGCAGTCTGCGCTCTTCTTTGCGCTCTCCATTGCAACATTGCTGTAGGAGATGCTGTTAAAAGCTTTACTTAGTGTTCGAAGCATTATAAAACCCAGCATCTTCAGTCTGCGAATCTTTGGAAGATTTGTAGAAATCTAACTCTTTGAAAAATGAGCTGTTGCGAGAGTTGGAAACTCTGCACTTGTATGGAGATATTTTTAGCAATAAAGTACAGGCTGATAATGCAAAATAATTTTTAAAAGACCCTTAGATTATGTGTTTATTTTACTTGATTTTATCTCTGATGCACAGAGAATTCCATGTTGATGCAGAAATGCTTAAATCTTTGATTTTTTTTTTTGGTCGTGGAGGTATTTGTTTTTAAGGTATATACCTATCTTAAAGTAATACCATCAAATTTAAGGACCTGTTCACAAATTAATCAGGGAAACAGAAGGGCAGTTTAGAAATTTCCTACCATACAGTAGGGAAATACATAGGATAGGGCTTGCAGTGCTTGGTGTCTGTGGGAACCTAAAGGACATAGAAATGGATCCATTTGAATTCTGAGTGTGCTAATTTAAATCCCGATCCTCGTCAACTGGTTAGCTTTGTGTTTCCTAATTAATAGCCTACTCTCGACTGTAAAATGCAGCTATGTTCTACACTGTGTGTTTGCATTAGAGAGGGAGAGTGTTAGCACTATGGCTGGCATCAAGAACACACTTAATAAATTAGAACAATAACAACAGAAAAATTCCAGTTCCACTTTTTATAGTAGCTTTTTGCAGTAATGATTCCTCGTTTGTTTCCCTATAAAAATGTCATTGTTGAGAAGATGAACTTTGAAATGAAAGCACTTACTTTGATATTTGGTCCCTGGTGAGTGTTATCATCTTGAAATGTGCTTCTGAGTGTCTGTCTTTCATTTGATAAATAGCAACCTCATCTGATTGCTTGGAATGCTTTTTAAAAGTCGTCTTGTGCAGCATAGACTATATAATGAAGGACAGTGGTGTGCATATATCTCAATTTATTCTTGGGCCCTACCTTGTAAGGTTTTAGGTTTGGGTTGTAGGAATTAATCAGTTGTGTGTATATCATAAGTACTTAGAGCTGGCAAGCTATAGTGCTTTTGCAGTGTCACTTTTTGTTGGGAAAGATGATCCTAAAAAGTATGTCTTAAGTCATGAGTGGTTCTGCATTCCTGTAATCCCAGCATAAGAGATGCTGAGGCAGAAAGGTTATGAGTTCTAGGTCAGTCTGGGCTACTTAGAGAACTCAATGCCATCTCAGGTTAGGACTGTGTCTTAAAAAACAAAACAAATAAAGATTAAGAATTTAAATGATTAAATGAAGATCCCATTTTCAGCCAGTAGTATTCTTATTTCTAAAGCTTTGGTTATAAGGAACTTTTCAGAAAAAATGTCTTTTGTTATTCATACTATGTTCTTACTAAATGTCATGCAAATTTGGTAATTTTCTTTTTCAGAAGACTTTTAGTTTCCTACTCTCAACTATATTGTGTTCTTTCCCAGAGCATGAAGGGAAGAAGTAAAAGCAGCCATGACCTGCTTAAGGACGATCCGCACCTAAGCTCCGTGCCAGCTGTGGAAAGGTTAGTGCGGTCTTGAAAGCTGACTCCAGTTTTTAGACTTTATTTCATTCAGTTGCTTCTTTGTTAGCAAGCAGAGCTCATAAATTTCCTAAGCCTAGCCAAAACAATAATACATTTTGATAAGTGATTCATCTTAGCCTAGTGTGAATACTAGGAACTGCTGTAATAATTGCATGCTGCATTGCTAACTGTCTTTGGGGCATTTTTGTTTGGATATCATGAGTTAGCGCGAGAGTGCAAGGTTACTGGGAGAAGTGGCCACATTCTGGGCCGATTTTCTGTGTGTAAATTCTCACAACTTTCAGAATTGACAGAAATCTGTCTTAATTGTCTTTGTTGCTTCTGTTTGAGAGGTGGGATATTAATGAATGTTGAATGTATTAATTACACATGGTATATTAGCCAGTCTCAGACAGAGCTAAAATTCTGTTGTACTGAGCTTAACTCATCTTTAAAACTTCTATTTTAAAATACTGTTTCTTAGTATCCTTTAATTTGTAGGATTTGGTCCCTTTAGCCAGAACCTTTTAAGTTATAAAAAAAATCGTTTTCTGCGAATGGAACAGCTTGATGGTGTTTGCTTGTATTTGAAAAAAAAAAATCCAGAGAATTCTTTTATCTGCTGCGGGAGGATATCTCTTCCTGTTTATAAAAGGTGACTACGTTTGAGCATGTTCCCATCTGTTGTGCAGTGCCATTGTGAGAGTGCTCTGGAAAAACAAAACAAAACATTAATCCTAGCAAACTAGTTATAAATTCCAGTCTACACTTTATATAAATGAATATATAAGTGAATACTTCTATTAGTTTCACTTTGAAGCTAAAATGCATTTGTTTTACTTATTTTTGTAGTGAAAAGGATGATGCAACAGGAGATTTAGAAGATGTGAGTATTCATTTTAGTACAAATATAGCTTGGACAATTTATAAATAGGTCAAAGTTTTACAAATTACATTTTCCTTAAAACCATATAAATATATGTAATTTAAAATGAAAACAATTTCTTTTGTTATTAGAATATTTACTTCCAAATAGATTTGCATATTTCCCCATAGAATTGCAGTCTCATACGTGAATTTCTGCCCTGCCTTTTCTGTCTGTCACATAACATTATGTGGAAATGTTATGATTTTATTGTGTTAAAAGTTTAAATGTGATGAGTGAGCATCCTTCATGCTATATGGGAAATACATAGAGGAGTTATTTGTAATAGTATATTCCTTTGTATACATTTATTTGAGAAGGTTCTCTTTTAAGATTTACCTTTTAAGAAGATTCTCTCTTAATGTTGTGGGACAGTTTGAAATACTCCAGGGGCCAGCAGCAGGCCAGTGTGACCAGTATAGTGAGGAGGAGAGTGGGGAAATGGGCAATGGAGGGACTGGCGTGCTTACACAGTGCCACAGCTCTGCGAGGGAGTTTGGGTTTCACCTTAAAGGTAATGAATAGCAGTTGAAGGCTATTGGTTAGAAAGGCAGGTTCCTAGTCCACTCTGCATTTTAGAAATCATTGTTAGCAACATTACAGAGTGCAAGTAAGAGGGAGCAGGCCGGGTAAAGGGAGCCGTGGGAAAGCTGCCAAAGGAGATGTACTCTGCGGAGGGAGAGGAGGCAGGAGTATAAGATAACCACACGTTTCTGGCTTGGTGGCCTTGTTAGCGAGGTACCAAAGACAAGACAGGCTTGAAGTTGGGTGGGAGATGAAAATTAATTAACAATTTGTATATTTTTGGATGAGTTATATTGAAGACATCTGGTTACAATAATATGAGCTAGAAAATATGGTTTTGCTCTTAAGTTTATGATTGGGATGAGGTCACTTAAGGATAGTGTTTGGTCTCTAACCTGTTTTAGATCCCAGAGCCTTTTAATGTGTGGGTCCTTTCCCCAGAAAGTATCTATACTAAGTTTATGACTTTGCAAGAGATTTGTTGTATATTTGCTGAGGCCCAAATATGCCATGTCTGTGTCAGTGTTTAGGAATGAATATATGCCATTTCTGTGTCAAGGGTTAGGAATCTTGTCAAACAGAGACTTTTGGTTCAGTAAGTCTGCAACAAGATTTGGGATTATATGTAATCAAAGGATAATTTGATTGATTGTATACTGATACTTTCCACATATGAAAATCAATATAAGTATTTAAACATGTAGATCTTTTTGTTTTGTTAAGACAGGGTCTCACTACATAGTCCTTGCTGGCCTGGTACTTGCTCTGTAGATCAAGCTGGCATCCCTCTTAGGGAAGGGACCACTCTGACTCTGCTTCCTGAGTGCTAGGATTTAAGGTGTGTGCCATTAAGCCTGGTTGGGTTTTATCATTTAACTTTGGGAGTCAGAGAACCAGACTTTGAAAAACACGCTGTAGGGGTTCATAACCCTGAAGTCAGTAGTCCTGTCTTGCTGTAGTTGGCAGGCCAAAGAATCACAGGGGATGGAGAACCCCTTTGGTTTAGTTTCTTCTTTCTCTCCCTTCTCTCTCCTCTTCAGTAATGCTGGGAATACAAAGTAGTGGGCAAATAGACTAGACTTTAGTTTTTGTGGAGTATTCTCTTAATTGTGTGAGAAATAAGCAAACAGACAAACAAAAAACCATGTAAATAATAAGGACTGTAGAAATAAGGAGGAAAGAGATATATGAGGTGGGACAGTGTTTTCTTAATCTTTTTTTTTTCCCTCTGTTAAGTGGGTAGGCAAGGAAAAATGCAAGCATTCAGATATTTAGAGTAAGAGAGTTTCAGACTGAAGAGAATGACTTCAAGGACATGATGCCAGGGAGAAGGTAGACAGCCTCAGGCACGTTGGGGACTCATTGCAAAGCTTTCAGAAGAGCAGTGACTGCTGTGTCTTACATTAGGAGCCCAAGGGGGTTGGTTTGGTTTGATTTTGCTGTGGTGTGGGCAATCTGATGGGATTGCCCCAGGTTGCTTAAGTCTCAGCATCTGCAGGACACTCCTGTTTGAATGAATTGCTGGTTGATGTTATGCTGACCAACTGCCTGCAGAACCACATTTCCTACTGGGAAGGACAAGGCTGTGTGGTACAGAGGGAATGCTACACAGAAGAGCTGGTGGAATTGAGCCCATTATCCCTCTTGGGAACCCAGTGTACATTTCTAGCCTAGAGCAGAATGCAGGGGTTATCCCAGTGGGAGAATAGTCTTCAAGCCCTTACTGGTTCAGAGCTACACAAGGCTGGCCTAGAACCCAGCAAGCATCTAAGATAGTCTCTGGAAGTAAAAGGGGAAACAATGCCTGGAAAAGACTCACTTTTAGCTTTTACAGGATGGAGAAGATGAGAGTACAGATCGTGATGAATACATTGATGATGATGAAAAGAACCTGATGAGAGAAAGAATTGCAAAAAGGTTAAAAAAAGACACAAGTGCAAATGTGAAATCAGCTGGAGAGGGAGAAGGAGAAAAAAAGCCAGCCAGTCGCAGGTGAGTCAGCCATTATGCGTCGGGCGTCTGTACTTCTGTCTTTTGATGCTTCTCTTCACCTGGGACTGAGTACTTGACATCGCATAATGTTTCTTAACTGTTAGGTTCTGAAAAGTCAGCCCCTTTTGGGGCCTAAAAAAAATCAGAATTAAAGTAAATTTAATTCTGTACACAATATATTAGCTGCATGTATGAAATTGTGTTAGCTCAATACTAATGAGAACACTGAATGATTTGTATAAGAAAAACATCTTGAAAAACTTTAGGTCAGTAAAATTTGTCTAAATTGGTGAATAAAGTGGCCTTGAAAGCATTCTTAGACATCTTTTCAAGTCTGATTGGATCGTGCCTCTCTGATAATTGGCACTGTAAAATAAATTTCAGTAAGTGCTGCAAGTTCTGTCTAGTGGTAAAAGTTTGTTGGATTCTGCTTTTTTGAAATTCAGAGCAGTTGAAACCCCCTACCTATGTGATTCTTTATTACAACTCTAGGATATATACATCTTAAATATCACTGCTTTACAAAGTCATAGGATGTCTTTTCTTCAGTTGATCTCTGCAATACAATAGAAGTACACAGAAATTGCGTGTGTGTGTGTGTGTGTGTGTGTGTGTGTGTGTGTGTGTGTGTGTGTGTGTGTGTGTTTCCCAGCTTCATGTGGGAAGCTTTAGGATCCAGGCATTACCTTGGCAGAGGTTCCTCAATATTTGCTTTGTTTAGCTAAAAATAAAAGTGATAGCCAGAAATATCTACTGATGACATAATTTTTGTAGTCAGAAATAGAATTTAGAGTTCAGAGTGGTGGTACACTTATAATCACAGCACTCAGGAGTCAGAAGCAGGCTGAACTCTGAGTTTGAGGCCAACCTGGTCTACAGAGTGAGTTCCAGGCCAGCCAGGGCTGTTATATAGAGAAACCCTATCTTGAAAAACAAAAACTACATAAAAGGGGGGGGGGGGCGTGGAAAGAAATGCAAAAAGAAAACTGATGGTCATGGTTTTCGAAGCTGAAGTCAAGATAGAGGCTACAAATTTGATGTTTTCATATGGTAGAGGAGGCCTGTGATGTCTCCTTTTCAAAACAAATGCTTTTTTATCATAGAGTCTAAACGTCTCCAAAGCTTAGTCACATCGTGTTGGAGGGCCACCAGCATTTGGTAAGGAGAGAAGAGACTGGAAGACATTAGGGAGGCTTCTGTCAGTGTCTGTGCATGAGAGTTGGTGACTACCTGAACTAGTGACTCTAAAGCAGGGTTCTCAACCTATGGGTCGAAACTCCTTGGGATCAAACGAGCCTTTCAGAGGTCTACTTAATGACCACTAGAAAACACAGATTATTTACATTGTAATTCATAACAGTAGCAAAATTACAGTTATGAAGTAACAACGAAATAATTTTATGGTTTGGGGTTAGTGCACCATGAGGAAAAGGATAGAGGCATAGAAAGGTTGAGAAGCCCTGCTTAAGGGTGCTTTACAAAAGAGTGATGTGATATTTGAATCAGAGGTACTGTTGATCTTGTCATTGTCTTGTTCTCACCATCATTTCTCATATAGTCACATATTAGAAAATATCTAGTTATCTTAGCAGTCTTTCTGTTTTTATAGACCAGTATAATTTGCATATTTTAAATCATAAAATATTAAGTTTATGAGTATCTTTTTTACACTCAGTGTATTAGGAAAAAAACTTTGTTAAAGTACTTGCAAGTCTACCAAGGAAAGTAAATTGAAGAAATTAATTAATTCTGTAAAAGTGGTCTTAAAACATTAGGTAAGGACTTTACATGGTAGAAGGAGAAGACTGACGCTGGCAAGTTGTCCTCTGACTTCCACATTTATGGAGGTTGTTTTAAATAGATACATTTGAAATAAATGTATTTAATTTTTAAAATTTTGGGTAAATGTAAACATTGTGAATATTAATTGATTTTATATTTTTGTATAGTAATTAGTATATGTTCCTAGAAAATATGAAGCAAAAATTTATTTATGACTGTTTCTGTGTTCACTGAAATGTGTGTAACCCACATCCTTTAACCACCCCTCAGAAGAGGCCCTACTACTGCGTAAGCAAACCAGAATTGTTGTCACAGGTTCATAAAAACCTTCAACTCCCATTTATTCTTATGTGCACCCAAAGCTGGATGAAAGTTTAAGATGAGCATGTCCACCCACTGCTGATTGACAGTTAAGGTAGTACCTTCTGGAAATGGAAGTCTTAGCTGAAAGCTTAACTATGAGGAAACTTTTTTTTTTGCCTGTAGGTGGCACTCAGTGGCTACAAGTTAGTCATGTGAAAACCAAATTGTGAATTCTGCCCTGCTTATTTATTTCTAGCCTTGGTGTTCTAGTTCAAAATAAATAGCTAAACATTAAAATCAGATGGGACAAGTAGGCTAGTCAAATATCATTTGTTATGATTGTAGCCATTATGAAACCACTGTCACTGTGCATTTTCTTAATTTTTAATATGAAAAAAGCAATCATAGTACCAAGTAGTTAAACAGAAATATTAATCAAGGATGAAGACCTTATGAATTGTTTAAGCTTTGAATTATGAGATGTGTTAATATGAAATCATAAGTGAAGCATTCGTAACTCCTGAGGCCTGAGTGAACACTTAAATTTAATGTCACTAACTTTAGTCCTTTTCATCTTCCTCTGTTGAGTTTGCAATATGTGACTGGCATGTCTCATGGAATTTTGAGTTATTTTCTCCTCTAGAATTTCTAGACCTCCCCCAAAAAAGTATGTCTCAGGCTTGCATGAGTCTTGTCATACAAATGTTCTGCTTTTGATTTATAAAAACACTTAGAAGTGTACGTTTTCCATGGTACATAAAGTTTGTTTTCTTTCAAAAATTAAAAAAGGTGGCCTGATAATTAAATTTCAAAAAGTAAAGATAACACCTTTAAAATGATAGTACAATTTTTAAAGGCTAGTAAAATTTAAAAGATCAGAACACGTGAACCTTCCAATCAGTCAACTTAAAGCCTTAGAAGCCTCATCTGTAGGTTGTCCCCACTGTCTCCTTGGGACCTTTATGGGCAATGAATGGAACTGAACAGTTGTAGGATGCCACTTCACTTTTCTTTCTCTTATCTTATGGTGTGGACTGAAGCAAGGAGTGAAAAGACATGAAGAAATAGAAATGCATGGCTTAAAATCTGGATAATTGGTCCTCACATAATACTTGGCAATTATGTCTTTGGTCTGGAGTAATAGTGGTATAAATATAGGCAGCATATATATAGTCCTGGTTTGAATATTTGCATACTTTTACCAGAACTTGATGCTGATTATTTTTTTATGTGTATCTCTTAACTAGCCACTCTATTTTTAACTTTAATCTAAAATATTTGTTACTCTTATTGCTAGCCACTGTAAGAACTATTGGGTGCTAGGCTCTGGAAACATGAAAATACAAGAGAAATGGTTTCTGTCTGCAGATGTTCATTGTCTAATTGGTGTTGTTTGGATGAATCTCCCAATGTCCAGGTGCAACGGTGTTCAGAGACTGAAGGGGTGATTATTAGGGCATGAGGGCAATCGTACTAATTAATGTGATTACTCTAAGAGTGGCTTAGTTATTTGGGCAATGGATACTAATAAAAGTTTGCCTACCCTACCCTCCCTCTCACATGTGCATGTACACACACACACACACACACACACACACACACACACTTGCACACACGCATGAACGTGCACATGTTTTTGCCCTTGTGCTTCCCACCCTGGACACAGAGGAGACCCTCTTCATCCGCACTTGGCAAGAGAGGTGCAGAGGTGGTCGCCCATGCCTGCAGTCCAGCATTTGGGAGGCTGAGGTGGGAGACTCATGTGTTTGAGATCTGCCTGGGCTGCATAGTGTGTCAAAACCACAGGTTTCATATGTGTTCCCTTAATTCTAGTAAGATAAAGCTTCTTTTGTACCACTGTTTAAATAGTAACACGTGTATGAAGCCCAGTTCTTTAGATTAACGTTGCTGGTCTCCCCAAGCAGACTGGATGGTTTGTTTTACTGTCTTTACCTGTTATGGTTAAAATTTTGGAATAGTATTGGTTATAATATAAACCATATCATACTTTAGTATTTCTGGCAAGTTTCCTCTATCATACTGTTTCGAGCTTTATTGCAGGAATTTGGGATATTCTCAACAAAACTGGTTCTTGAAGTGTTTGAAATAATACACCATTTTTAAAATGCCAAGTCATAGTTCACTGAGAACTAGTTAATCCATATGCAAGGGGTCACCTTCAAACTAGCCTCCTCACCCCTCATATACTTGAACTTAAACAAAACATGTCCAGAAATATAACAGCTTTGCTGTTTTTACAATTAGATTCCATATGGCAGACAGGAAGCTATGAAATGCACACTGGGGGAAGAGAGGCCTGTCAAAACAGGCAAGGGGCATTTGCATGTCTTTAGAATATATTTACTTGTATTACCCTTGAGAGTTGCAATCTATTGATCTCACAACATCTGTTGTTTATGGGGAATATAGTTGCACTATTGAAATTTTACAGGAAAACATTTAAGTCATTCAGCATTTGATAAAGAATTCTCTATCCTGGAAGATATATTTCCATTGAAGAAGTTTGCAATACTGGTCATTTTGAATTCACCTGTTCAAATTCCTTGGTTTTGCACAAAGCACTTAACATTGTACAAAAGCCTGAAGGGAATTATGGCTAGTGATTCTATGTAGACTTCTCTTCTTCCATCATTCCCCCTCCTCCCTCTGCCAATTCCCTGCCCAAACTAGTGATTTTTGCCATCCTTAGGATACCACTTGAATTTTCCATGTACATTGAGTATATTTTAGGTCTCTCAAGCCAAGGAGTTGTTCTGGCTTTCTACGATTACTTACTGTACTTTTCCAGCATGGCTAGGCACTTTGCCAAGTATTTTTCCCCACAACAAAGTTACAAGGTATACTTTGTGTTATTATCCTTGTTTTGACAAGTGAAACAAAGAAACCTAAAGCAC